GTTATAATATCGATCATTTAAGAGCGTTGATCCTGTGAATTAGCGTGATTCGCTTTGGAAAACGTTACGCAGCTTTGATTGCTTTGCTAAGCCCAGTGATAGCATTTGTTAGAAAAGGGAACTAATTGTTATCAACTGAGTTGATAACGTAAATTGGCCACCGTAAAGAGTTAACTAGCTCTTTACTTTTCGCGGTAGCCAATTTATGTTATCAACTCAGTTGATAATACTAAAATTTCCTGTTTTACTCTCCCACCGACGCAGCACCACAGTTTCTTTAGAAACTTACACCCTTTATTCATTTACGTAAGTAATTCAGGCATCGTAACGCATCGCCACGAAACACAACGCAAGATAACAAAACGTAACGCAACATAAAACTATGCAACGCAACGTAACACAAAACATAAACGCGTAACGCATGACATCCAAAAACATTGCAACGCATAACGTAATGCGAAAAAGCACTGATGAAAGCATATTTCGTTTCTCTCTGGGAAAGTCCTGGTTGTTTTTCACTGTTGCGTGACCTGCATACTTTTTGGGGAGATGAAAAACAAAACAATTTTTTCATATGAAGCTTAGCTTACTCGTCAAGAGGTAAGAACAAAACTGAAGCTGTACGAAAGCAAGTTGTTTTTAATTTACACACAACAAAAAAATATCGAAATCAAAATAGAATAACGCTGACTTTGCACGCTTTTTTATCTCTCAACCCAGTCTTTCTCGTTAATTTGACCCTAATAAATCTCTAATAATGGCGGAGGCTGATTCGGGAAGGCGTTCGAGAATCACTCTTATAGCAGTAGATCAAAGTGAATGGAGCGAGCAAGCTTTTGAATGTGAGTACGTTATTCCATTTAGCTGTGAGAAAAAAAATATGTTCTTGCGCGCGTCACACTGTAGGTACTGCAACTGAATTAAATATCCGACATACTGAAATTTTAATTAGCTCTACATATCTACCGAATTTTTTCACTAATTTTTGACGCCAAAACTTGAAGTAACCTAAAGACAAGCCCTCGTTGTTTTCAAATGGTATAAATTGTAATTTGGTTTAATTCAGTGTAGCAGTGGTGTTATTAAAATGCCAACGCTTATTCCCCACGTGTCCAGGCAAAAAATGCCCAATTCAATGTTTTTGGCTATCTTAACGTAACAAACCACAAATCTTTATATCTAATTTTAAAAAATCCGTGTTATTCGCGTTATTTGTCTTGCTGTGTCTTGATTATTGTCCGAAAAGCTCCTGTTTTAAAGTATTTGCAAGCTGTAAAGCATTTCCTTTTACTTCTGGTGTTTCAAAACGATAATCGATTTCAAATCGATTTTCATATGGTAATTTAGGTGCAAAATGGAAAAAAACTAAGATGTTATGATGGTTATGTAGATAATGTAACTCGATTGTAAAGGCCAGGATAATTGCATGGTTTGAATTCCAGTTTCTTTGTTTGGTTTTTTTTTTCCTGACCCTTAAGAGTGACTAACATCTGATTTCTCGTAACAATATTACCCCTGAATCACTTATTGAGGTCATGAGAATAAAGAAAATAATCACCAACTAAAGGAGCACTTGATGGTTAAACAAATTCTCCTTATCAGCACCTCAGGAAATATAAAGAGAACAGTAAGAAGAATATGCATACTGATGTTCAGGTGTTCAGGTTATTTTTGTTGTGTTTCCCTGTGAGATCAGATTAGCAAAACCAGTATAATGTCATGAAATTAAGTCTGAACACACAGAGTGCTTAGATGTTTTATATGGAGAAACTATCACCCAAACCTTATGTGGTGAGGGCATTTCCCATGATGGGGTATACAGCAAATTCATAACTCCCACTGGCCTCCTTTAAAAGATCCTGATGCAACTGATATTATTTACAAGGGTATTTTGTTTGATAAAAGGGTTACACAAGAGAAAGAGAGTAACGAATGGTTCATTTTTAACCAAAACAATTTTTATCTATCTGTTCTTGTCATCAAAAGTTATTTTTAGAGATGGAGTACTGCAGGTATGTTACTATTTTTCCATAAAGAAAGTGTAGGAAGAATCATTAACATTGAAAGTGAAATTAAGTCAGAAACACCCTTAACTGTCCATGCAAAATTGCAGCCCAAAGCTGTAGACTTGTTATCTTTTCCATTGTTCAATCTTAAAATCATCTTCCCTTCTTCTGCATAGATCAATGGCAGGAGTAAGGCCCCTGAAATTATGATTCTTAGTAACACCTTACCGGTTAAACTTGTAACACTGTTGCATAATTACAGTATTGGTCACAGTATCAAGTGAAGCAACCATACAACTAATCTTTATGCTTAACATAGTTCCTCAAATAAGCTCCCACACTCTAATACGCAACCTCCCCCTAATTAGAGACCCCTGAAATAAGCCCCCCCCCTTGTGTCCTCCCTCACTTTCTACAGGGGAATCAGCACAGGAGAACAATAAGCACTCCATCTCCCCTTGATAAAGCACCTGCCCTCCATTAGGTGCTCCTTGCTCCCTTGTAGCCAAAATAAGCACCCAAGCATTTATTTAAGGAAATTTGGCATATAGGGATTAAAGTGTTCACAATTCCACTTTGTTTTTTCTCTCAGGGTTCATGGAAAACATCTATCTCGAAGGAGACCAAGTAATTCTCTTAAGTGTTGTAGAGCAACTCCATCTTCCATTTCTAGCTGGTATGTACTCAAAGCTTTTTTTTATAATCACAGGTTTGGGGGGTGGGGAAGGGGGAGGAATTTGAGGGAAGCTGGTTTGGATGTGCTAACAGGGCAGTCAATAAGATCAAAAGTGTTGTGAGGCACTGAACTCAGGGGAATTGCAGGGACAGGATGAGTATGATGGATGCAAAGCTGATGTAAACTGACTTCAAGAAATTTGATTATACTATGTTTTTAATTATGTACTTGGTAATGAATTTTTGGTTCCTTAAAAATTATTTTATACATTATGCAGATGCTGTGGTCATTGAGGAATGGAAAAATGAGGTTCACAAAATGGAGGAAGAATTGAAGGCTTTGGAGAGGAAATATATTGATAGGTGTTCAGATTTGAGGGTATGGGGTCACCTTTTAGTTGGTTGTTATTAAAATTAATTGCCTAAATACCTATTGGATGGATGCCCTCGACAGAAACTGTATCAAAGATATTGATAATAATAGAATGCATGCATTCTCGTCCCTAATTTCTACTTCAATCCTTCCCCCCCTCAGAATCATTCTTAACAAACTAGAGATGAATAATCGCGTGCATATAGTGAATGAATCATCATCATCATCATCATTATCATCATCATCATCATCATCATCATCATCATCATCATCATCATCATCATCATCATCATCATCATCATCATCATTATCATCATCATGCTACAGGTCAAAAGTCTTGTCCTACCTTCATCCCTCAAAAAGTTTAAACTTTTTCTCTTGGTTTTATCCCATTATTTGTTTCCTATTGAACAGTGGATTAATTTATTGACTCTTCTTGTAATTACTGATGGAAGAAGAGAATACCTTGTTGGCATTCAGACTTTTCTCTTTAATGTTATCCAGTTGTCAGACCTACAAAACTAAAACGCTCAATAGCGATTTGACCTGGAAACCTTCAATCCAGCTTATTTATTACTTAGTATTAGACATCAAACATGAACATTTTTTGGCAAGAGATTAAATCACAGAATACAGACTATACATGCTGCAGAGAGAGAAGTTGATTCAAAAATGGGAAGTAACAAGGTCCCTTTTCACACTACCATTGAAAAAACAGCCATGTAATCAGTGCTGCTCTTTCTTGTTGATAGACTCCCATAAGATTTAGAGTGGAGCAAGGAAAACCAGGAGAAAAGATCTGTGAGATAGCTTTGAAAGAGAAAGCCACACTGATTGTCCTAGGAAGTCGGGGTTCTGGCCTCATAAGGCGCACAGTTCTTGGAAGTGTCAGCAATTATGTAATTCATCATACAAAGATTCCAGTCATCTTGTGCCCCAAAGATTATCTGTGACTAATTTAACATTCTGTTAGGGTGTGGTGGGGAAATCCACATTTTCCCTTCCAGTAGCCCTCTCTATTTATTTTCCTTTCCAAGGAATTCCTAAAAAGAAGAAAAACACTTTTTTCATTTTCTGATTTACATGTAAGATTTTAATGTTTATCGCCATGTGCTTATTTAGTTGGTCTATCCTGAACGTTTAAGTTCCTTCTGATGAAGTTATTTTGTATAAAGGAAATAGCTTTGATTTGTAATGGAAGAAAGTAAATTTAAATTGTTACGCCCGTCCTATTTGAATTACTATGTATACTGCTGGGGGAAAAGAACTTGCACCACAGGAAAACCTGGAACCTCTTCACAGGGACTCCCTTCTTTTCCCTAATCTGTAGGGCTTCAACAGTGTTAATCGTGAGCTGTAAAACGGGACGAAACACAATCGGAAAAGGCCCACTCATATCCACCACAAACTTGATATTTTACGGTTTACAGTCAAGTCGCTCGAAAGTCATCTCGCTTGAAGTCATATCGCCCACAACCGGAGACAAGTCGCCCGAAACGTTAAGTCATTTCGCCAGAAATCACGAGTCATGTCACCCGATTTTTTATCACATGTAAAAACGTCAAAATGGTATATCTTTGGAAATCGCTGAAGGTGCCGATGGATCAAACTACCCTTTTGGGTGTATCAAACATTCAGCGAAACATACATAACCAACATAAAAAATTTTATCTAATTCAACTTCTTGAAAACAAAGCGGATAGTCCCAAAGGTAATCTATTGTTTGCGCTATTGTTTTCTTCTAACAAAAGACTGTATGCATAATGAAGTATGGGGCTGTGCGGAAACTTTGCCCATCTGTCTACCGGGGCTTTGATCATCACTGAATGTTTGGACAGGTAAGAATCTACTCGCGGGTTGGGATCAAACCGAGTCGCACTGAGTATGAAAAGTCCGTGGGTAAGAAACGAGAAATATCAACTTTTGGAACTCTTTACGGTGGTTAATTACCATTATCGATTGAGTTGATAAAACCTCATTTTTTGTTTATACCCCTAATCGACGAAGCATCACAGTTTAAACTTACTCCCTTTAAACAGTGCAACGACCACATGATTGATTTCTGTATTGCCAAAGTCTTCATGGTGTCGTCGAAAACCAACGCCTCTTGAGCGAAAAAGATTTAGGTTTCAGTCGTCATTCTTGGTGGAGCGTTTGATTGAGTAAACCCTTTAACTCCCAGAAGTGATTGACATGCAACTTCTCCCTATAATATCCATACATTAACCAGCAAACAGGTAATGAGAATACTCAAACTTATCAGGAGAAGTTTTTATCTTGATCTATCTCTAAATTCTCGTCACTAATTTACAAGGAAGTGTAAAGCAGCTAGAGAGGAGAATTATCAATCAGATCTTGGGAGTAAAGGGTTAAAACGACCAACAGCATTAGATGGAAAACCATAATTTCATTTCGCACGAAAGTCAAGTGTCACTTAAAACAACACATTTTTCTTCATATATCAACAAGTTTACTTAATATCGAGGAAGTTTCTGATAATTTCAATACAAATGTCTGGCTGTTTGTTTGAAAGTCGCAATTTTTGGGCAGTTTTCTCACCTTCTTGAAGACCGCGCAAATTTTTAAATTGTTTTCTGTGCTTGGAATTCTACAACTCATTTTGTGATGCTTGTGCCTAGATTCCTGAATTACACACCTAGAGAGAGACTGGTTTGGCCGACGAAATGCTTGTTAGATCGAGAGGATGCCAAACACATTCGGGGCCTCATTACTACAGCCATCCAACAGTAGTGTGGTGACACATCTTGCGTAAAAAAGATTCCAGAACTATTATCTCTGTCAACAAACTAGTGAACTGTAGTGTTGAAGCTCTTGGGAAAGTCTGGTTTATGATAGCTCACTAAAGCAGCTAAGCGTAATAAAAAAGCAGAGTTCACTTTTCTGACTATCATTATTATCGTAAACTACAGTCACCCTGTATTTAGCGATCACCAACGGAAAATGACCGCTAAATACAGGTTCCACTAATTATTATAAAAAACGTTCAACAAAGCCATTTTATAGCATAATTGACCACTTAATGTACAGAGTCTATCTCGAAAATACTACTTTGATTTTGGAAGAGAAACATTCTTTTAAAATTCATTGAATTTTAAATTAAATCATAAATTCTTGAAGTATTATTTTTAGTTTTAATGACTGGTCCCACTTTCAATGATCGTTCCAGACAGGTGGAGGACAATTAAAACAGGCAGTTAGGACTTGATAAAGGGTGACCTCGACCGCTTAATAGAGGTGACCCTGAATAGAGGTTAAAATTGCGCTAAGTCTTGCTTTTTTTTTTTGCTTTAAGTTTATGACTTGTGGCCGTTTATTATAGGAAGAGTCCTTGCTTGCTGTTCGATTGGCGACGTCAGAGCCAGCAAGCTGTACAATCATCAATTCGACTTCTTTTTTTTTCCTTCCCTCTGCAAACAGGTCCAATATTTGAGATGCCAGTGGTCATTTTTCATGCACTATAGTGTCGCGTGATAGGTGTAACAAACTAAAATAGATCCACGAACATTCATGTAACTATCCTTTTGGACCAACCAGCTATCTGGACGGTTTATGTTCATAAGTTTACCACAGAGATGCTAGTGTTAACTGTGATCATTTTGACGCGCACAATACAACCTAAAGGTAATTTGCTTTGTCTTGTAAAATCCGTGTTTGAAAAACCAAATTCCCTTAAGATGACAAACTTGTTTGGTAGGGTTTAAACAGTCCTTTCACTGCATGGATCCTTGTAATTACACTTTTTCCAAACCTGAAATTTTTACATTTCAGTAAAGGTGCACAAAAATTGAAGAACACTGTTCGTGTTTTCGGGACACAAAAGCATCTCAATTCTGGGACATTCCTGGCGTTGGGAAATCAGTAGTCTGAAAAGCAATATACATTTAAAGATCACAAAGGGACTGAATCAATTTCTAGTCTCGCCTCGTGAAAAATTTGGATGAACAAAAGATGGCAATGATTTAGCCAAGCTAAAAGGAATTTGATTTAAATGCAAGCGTAGGAAATAATAACTTAAAGAACAATGTACATTTAACAGATCAAGAAGAGAGATTGATTTGTGATTTTGCCTCATAAAAGTCGTCATGAATAGAAGTTCGCAATGAATGATTTTTTAAGTCATTAGCCTTTCATCAGATTTATCATCATTCATGCATTCATGCTAAGCTTAGGAAATGGCTTTAAAATGATCATTAAATGTAATTTTTTCGCCATTATTGGCCGCGGTTTCTGTTACCAGTGACAATGGGAAAACCATAAATCGCATGAAATTGCACATACAATCAAGGAAACGGAAGACCTTCGGGGTTTCCTTTGCAAAATCAATTAGCGCGCTATTTAAATCACTACCACAGTAAACTATATAACAATGGAAAGGTTATGAAATGCACTATTCGGCAATATTATTTCGTTTTAGCTTGATCGAATTATAAACCAAATGAGGCGCGAAAATTACAAATGGACGATCTTTATTTGAGCGAATTGATCGGGAATTAAATCTGACCTCACAAATAAAACCTTTGCACAATTTCAATCCTGAGAGGTTGATATTCAATATCATGTATTTTTCGATATTCCTATTTGTTCGGTCGCCTTTGTTTATCGAAATTTTACCGATGCGCGTTACGACGGAGGCCATTGCGGGAGATCCATTTTGAAAAACAGAAAACCCCAACACAGCTTTCTTTAGGTTGGTATCTTGGCAATCTTCGGGCCGAATTTCAAGGCAATCCGTAAAGTTTACGCAACCTATTTTTGTTCCCTTAAAAAAAGGCACATTCGCGCAAAAAAAAAGTAGGATTGCTTTTGCTTCCAAATTTTTACCAACAATTCACGCCTTTGGGTGATTAAATGTCAAATAATGTCAAAACTCTGAAAACTCGAAAAGCCGACTGCCAATAGAAACACAGAAGCGTCTTGCGGAGTTTTGGGAACCTCACAAAAAAACATATTTTGCGAGTAACTATCTAACAGTTTCACCGTGGCAGACCTTTAGTTCAATCCTACTGGCCAGTAATTTCGATTTCCGTTCTATTTCTTTTTTAACTTAAGCACGCTGCGGCAAAACTTGTGTTAGAAGTAAATTTTCTAACACTCGTCGTTTCATAGGTTAATTCTTCTTTATTCTCTTTCTTCACAAATTAATACGACGGGGACTAGCTTCTATATGACAGGGAAAATTAGAGTCTCCGATTATAAAGGTGACACTGCGGATGACATTTCTAAGCCGTCAATCTTCTTGTGTCGTCATCGTACCATCTCAACTAGCGAATCACGCTTGACTACGTATTACAGTTCCCACATACTGAGTATGCACCTTCGAGTTGTTTATGCAGTTAAAAAATCAATTTCTACCTTAATTTTCGTATCTTTACGTTTAAGATCGGCCAGAACAGAAACGAGATCGATAATATAAAAATTACAAATAACCTTGGTTCAGAGTAATATTTATACCTGGAAGGGTATCTTAAGAGAAAATCACCTTTAAAGATTGTTACATAACAACATCTTGGTCACAAGAGTTAAAGAAGAAAGGCGCTCACAAGTACCGCCCCCCAAATTGCTTTTGGTTGTGAGACATGAGGGGTATCACCTGTTTACATCTTAAATTACCGCTGGGGACAAGAAAATGTCGAACGCGACCTATTATCAGGGAGATTTACTCTTCCTGGACTAACAAATTAACTTAATTAGGAACATGGCTTATCACGATTTCCATGTCAACCTCACGATCACAAAGAGGAAATGTGATTAAACTCACTAGGAGAACGTGACCAAACTCACAAGAAGAACGTGACCAAACTCAACCTTTAAGATAACACCACCAAGAAGGAATAAAGAGTAATCAACCTGTCCTTTTTATAATTTGCATTAAACGACTTAAAATAATATAATATTTCCATTCCTTTTTTCGACACCAATACAAGGAAACCCTTACGATATTGTAGATTAACTATAATTGTAATTTTATCATTTAACACTTGATAACTGTTGCTCTGATCGAGTGCTAGCTGCGAGGACTGCCTAAAACAACAAGATTGCCAGAAATTCGGTGGGTCATTCGGTGAAACCAGTCAGCAGATTGTCGAAGTAAACATGTTCACGACAGGATTAAGCTTATTATATGTTAAAGGAGAAGCGGAAAGAAACAGAACATTGGAAGTTTTATAACAAAACACTCCGATCACAGTTGCCACAGTCATGGTCAGGAATCTTTCGACTGTTCTAAAGAATGCACGTAATTAGCATCACATCACAAAAAAATGTCACCACCTTTCACCATGAAGATGACCAAGACAAGATGAACAACTTTATACTTTAAATTTCACTTTTCCCAGACTTCTTTCAACGATATAAATCTTCCCTGACTCGGAGTGAAGTTCCTTTTCTTTCCCCTGGCCTTGGAGTAATTTATTTTTCCCGGCTGTTCCTGACCTGTGACAACCGCGCCCACAATTAACTTGCCGGAAACGAAACAATATTTCGTTTACCATGATAAAAACAAAGAAGGGCAGGTGCCATTTTTCAATTACTTAGATCGTCTTCGAAAATTTCAGATCATAGTATGGCACTAGGTATTATTCTTAAATCTTAATTTGGATCTTTTTTTGACTCTAAAAGTCCATATCTGTTTTAAAAGAAAATGAAAAACAACATTTAAAAATCGAGACGAGACGAAATCATTTTTCTGATCATTTTACTCGCGACTTGCAGTTGATGAAATATAGCATGGATACTTAATTTCTGAGTCTTAGGATCCCTAGGGTATTTAGGAAAAGACAAAACGGAAGTTGTGGAAACATTGTAATTGTCACAAACGCCATAATATTGGACCACTCTTCACGCTTCGCAGTTAATTTATTATGGCCGCGACTGCTGTTTACTCATCTCAGACCTCGTGACCGATCTATGACGTATGAAGTTAAAAATGTCTATCCAGTTCGAAAATACATTTTTACGAACGACACGCGCGCGTTTTAATATTTTACAAAAGCTTTTTTTGGACACTATAATTAAAATAACAATGCCTAGTATGAAAAAAAAATTGATAGTCGAGTCTATAACCAAGATATAGATATTTTACCTTTAAATCTGGTGGCTAATGATAATTTCATCGTCATGATAATTTTAGGAAACCCGTCAGTAGCCACTCTGCTCTGTTTCAACCATTTTCAACCGTGATTTTAGAAGCGTGCGTGCCAAGAGGATCGCTCGGTTTTCAAACTTATTACATCTAATGAGGATGGGAAGCGAATCAAATCCGTCAATCAAACAATAAACTTTGTAAAGCTGCGAGATGTTTCAACCTGATTATTTCACCTTAAACTTTTATTCCTCCCATAAAAACCCTCCCAGCCACAAAACTCTTTATCACAGGAAAAAAATCTTAATTTCTACTTGGCGGAGTGTAACTTAAACACATATGACATCAGAGCTCCACAGGGGTCATCCATCATAACTAATAATGTTATTGTTAAAAATCATATATAATTTGTATACTCTCTCTTTTCTGTTGTTTCTTTGGGAAATGGGTTATTTGCCACTTACCTCAAGAAAGTTTAAAAAAGTGGAGAATGTTACGGGTTAATTCCGAAAGAAAGTTATTTTCGTAACAACCCGAGTGGGAGTCAATCACAGTTTTTTCCAGAGTTTCTAATGGATTATCACACTTCCCAATCATCTGGTGTTTGTTCCGATAAATCTCTTTCTATATTTATAGATAATAAAGAAGTAATTTTAAAGAAAAAGGTCATGGGAAAAGTTGATCCGTCGTAATGGTGCATTAATGAATTCGCAAGGTATCGAATCTACCAGAATTACCAGCGGCAGTCTTAAACATTCAACTTCTATTGATATGAAAAGTTTTGAGTAAACATTTAGTAATCATATCCTCATTGACGTCAAACTTTTCTCACCCAAAATCGTTGCATATAATTTTGTTTACTTTGCTTTTCCAAAACAGGAGATTTGGGCTAAATTTCCTTGCAAAAGCCTTTCAGTTAAGTGAGAATTTTTTTAATGAGGAGTGTCAGCGCCTTCCGCTTCTCTACGTAGAAGTCCAACATATCATTTCGAAAAAAGGAACAAGTGATGTGAATGTAACTTTTACGGCGTAATTATCTCGTGTTATTAATGTCGGTGCGAGGTTCCTCTGATATAGTGTCATTTGCGGTGACAATCTCGATAAGAGGAACTGTAAGCAGTTCTTGATGTCTCCATTCTGTTTTCATGTATGGCCTTTTGTGACTACTTTGGTCAACGCGGCTGAATATTTCTATGGTTGATTCATGGGCCGGGACTGAAGGCCAGTGTTCAATATTAAGACCCTAAAAAGAAATTAATTAAAATCGCTGATGGTTTTCATCTTTTCTGGCTTCGTCGAGACATACGGTTGCACTGTTTCGCTAGTTCATAGCTTTGAAAACTTTCGGAAAACGTTTTATGGAAAAAAATTCATAATGTATACGCTGGCCAGCTACATCCATTTCCTTTTTCGGTTTTCGCGAGAAAACACAGCTTTAAAAACTGTCGGGAAACGTTTTATAGAAAAAGTTCATAATGTGTAGGCTGGCCAGCTACGAGCATTTCGCGAGAATTGAAGTGGTAACATAGCTCACGTTAGCCGATCATGAGCCAACCGCATTAAGCAACACCATCCTAAACATCTTTTCTTGGCTGCGTTACTTTATATTTCGAATCTTTTTTTCACATATTTTAGTTTTATTCCCTGGTATCGCATAATTTTTTCTAGTCTCCTAAGCAATTATATTTAGCGGCTAAACCCAAATAACTTTGACTCACCGAGGTTAATAAACAGTTGACAACAGGTGTTCTTCACTCAATGAGTCCTCTCCTTGAAATAAATAATAGTTTTCTTATGCATTGTTGATTCTCCGATCTAAGCTTGAGCGGTGGACCACTTTTGAGGTTGTTTAGAATGGATTTTCAAATTTCGTGTCTATTATTCCGTTCACGTTTTCCATCTAGAAAGTTTCCTCGTCAAAATCTTTAAAGCCAGCTTTTTGTACACCACTCGCATTGCATGATTTTGGAAAACATTGAGTTTTTGGTGCCCCTCCGGCTAAACTTATGCTGTCATCACAGGCTAACCTCTAACTGGAAGAGTATAATGATCTTTGAATGGAAATAAAAAACTAATTTTGGTAACTTTCAAATAAATCAGCTAGAATTCAAATCTACATTTCTCCTATCTAGGCCAAGCCAAGTGTTTCATGTTTGCTTAAATTACAGAATTTTTTTTTTTCAGCACCGTGAAATTTTTATTGTTAGAAACAGTTTAAAATGTCGATATGTTTTTTTCTTTCAGTTGACGACATGCAAATTTTTAATAAATATTTTAATAGCCTTCTACGCTATTAGCACTAATGACTATTTTGAAAAATATTTTACATTAAAATTGCCTTGTGAAAAACTGGTATACAATAGAGCGAAGTGACATAAAATGCAGGAGAGCCTTTCAAGTTTTTAGATATGCAAATGTTCACCAATTTTAATTTCCCTTTGTTTCCCAAACCATTATCCTTAATAACTACAGCCGGTGAGTTATTTCCCTTAAAATACTCTGTCTTAACAAGATGATGTGGAAAACATCACGGAAACATAAACACCTAATGGCCTTACATCCAATTCGTGCAATAAAAAGGGCAGTTTGATAAGTGCTCTTCTTCGTCGCAGATGCAAAGTGTTGCATAACCTTTTAAAATATTTCATGCGAAGAATGCATAATTCATCCAATTTTTGCAAGTGCAATACAGGTGGAAGGACACAGTTTTTTCTTTGACATGAATTCGTTGCTTGGCGTCCTACTTATCAGCTTACAAATTTATCCTGGAACCAACGGTATGTTTTATGCTTTAAATTACTCCAGTTTAAAATATATCCGTTGCTGTTTCTCCTGCAATATCACATTTGCACATTGCAGTTTGACCCTCAGGTCAAATTCAACGCCTAACTGAAGACGCCGTTTATCACTTAGAAATGTACCACCTTCACCACGAGATAACAATTTTTTTTAAGTCCTTAAAATAGAATGCTAAATGCACTGTCATCTTCTCCTGTTTTAACTATAAGCAAGTATTTTGGAAATTTAATTACACCACCACTCTGATTCCCACAAGAGCCTTGTAACATTCATATAATTTGTTATTTCCCTCAGAATAAACTCACCGGTGAGTTGTTTTTATCCTCGAAGGCAGAGGCATTACACTTGTTGACACCTCTTTTACAATAAAATTCTAACAAAGGTTCATTTTCTTTTTAGGGTTACCTAACTTTGAAGTCTTACAAAATTTATATCGAATAAGTTTATCGCTCGTGTGATACCAATAAGTGAACAAGACGAGGCAGGATGCCCAAAACTCACTCATTCTAAAAAATACAGTTAAGAATACAAAAAATCGTTATGTTTAAAAATTGTGAAAAAACTTTCTCGACTCAAATAAAATCCTTATCGGATAATTTTAAGTTGGTTTCCGTCTAAGATTCTCGATGCATTTTTACTTCTAATGTTACTTATGGAGGAAGCTAATGAACATGTTACTCGCTGACTCGCTGACTCGCTGACTCGCTGACTCGCTGACTCGCTGACTCGAACTTGCGTTATGACTGATAGGCTGACTGAATAACAAAATAACGTAACGATTGACTGACTCAATGATAATTTTTACTGACTGAGGAGTGTGCATAATTACAAACTGCCAGGCAAGATGCTTTTCTGGCTTATTTCATGACTGACTGACTAAATTGGCTATCATCTATCTCTTTATTTCAGTTTACGGACAGAGAATTTCCGAATCCTCCCGTTCTGAGAGAGTAAATAATGGCGATCGACTCGTCCTTAATTGCTCTGACAGAAACCTAGACCAGTTTCAAGGAAACGTGAATTTCACTTGGAAGAAAAACTCCGTGACTATACCGAATGACGACCCACGCTTAAATGTAGACGGGAAAGGCACCCTGCTACTTGAGCACGTACGGCAAAGGGACTCTGGACAATACACGTGTACTTTTGGTACAGCCGACGTCTTTAGCATTAGCAATATGACACTGTTTGTCATAGGTCGGTGGTTAATTAGCAGTGTTGTACAACATTCTTCATTAAGTCTAGATGTTAAAAGTATTTACCTTAAAAATACGTAAGAAAAGATGGATCTAACATTTCCATCTTTAATATTTATGGCCTGGTGGATCTGAATTATTCTTAATCTCCTCCCTTCCCTCCCCTCCCCTCCCCTGCCCCCGCACCTTATTAGGAGTTAATTGACAGCCAATTTACTATTGTCTCCCCCCTTTTTATACTTATGAAGACGACTAAGTCCCATTCCTTTCCTCCCCCTAAAAACCATTTGGTCCCCCAAAATCCCTCGAACCCTCCCCCCTTAAACCCTTAAAGAAGGGATTCAAGGGCATAAACTGTCAGAAAGACGGAATTTAAACGAATTCATATCTGAAGATAACACTTGATAAAGATGAATAGATTTCTTTGGGGAAATGCTTGAGAAATTGAAACATTTACATCCCTTTTACATTCTGCTAGTCTGATAAATTGTTCCTTTTATAGGCAGTACATCTCCGAATAGTCCAACAACGAAAGTAATGCCCTATCGGAAGCATTCAGCACAACGGGGTACCACCTTGAATTAGGCTCGTACCCAGACCTTCCACGGCCATTCAGTTACAGTTTCAGGGTAGGATCTGGGTACGAGATTAACCTTGTAAGCCATGTTAACACATTTCCTGTACATGCAGTGTCCGAGGGTAACAGAAGGCTAAAAGAGTTGCTTAAAGGAACTGTATCATATGGTGCGCATCTTAAAACATTTGGCCAAACTTACTCATTGATAATTCTTGTTGACCTTCAAAGGGCATCTTGTAATGATACAACTGAACTCATGCTGTCTTTATGAATAATTCCTATGCCACAAAAGCTTAGATGGTCGTGCAGCGGACAAGATATCTTTGTTTGTTTGTTTGCTTTAAACAGGGAACGATCCATCCAACGGAGTCACATCCACGAGTAGTGTCGCAGAAACTACCATGACAAGCCTCATAGCAAGTCATACTAGACTTGCTTACAGCGTTACGACAAAAAGCTCCACGACAAGAAGTGTAATGTTAAGTAGTGTCACGACAAGCCGTGCAAAAAAACATAGCGTCACGATGAGTTATATCACAAGAAGCAGTATCACAACAAGTCGCGTCACCACAAATAGCGTCAAGTCAAGTAATATAACGACAGGGAGTGCCACGACAAATCCTGTCATAACCAGTAGCATCACGACGAGTAATGTCCGGAAAAGCAGTATCTTGGCAAGTCGCGTCATGACAAATAGTGCAGCAACAGGTAGTGTCATGGCAGGTAGTGTCATGAAAAGTCGCATCATGGCAATCAGTGTCACGACAAACGATGACACGAAAAGCAGTGTCGTAAAAAGCAATGTGACCATGAGCTGCGTCACGACAAATAGTACGACGTCGGGTGGTGTCACGAGAAGTAGTGTCACGACAAGTCGCGTCATGACAATCAGTGTCAAGACAAATGGTGACACGAAAAGTAATGTCGCAAAAAATAGAGTTGCGACAAGCCCTGTCACGACAAATGGTGTCAAGAAAAGTAATGTCACGACAATTAGTGTCACGAGAAGAGGTGATACGCCGAGCAGCGTGAGCATGGTTTTGTATACTACAGCGATTGTGGCAACAAAGCAGCCATCGCCCTCCCCTCGGTTATTCACACAAACAACTACAAATTTGATTTCAAGCCTACAACTGCAGGTATTTGATTGCTATTGATCATTAAGAATTTGCTATGTATGACATTGGTTTTTTTCTTCGTAAGACTACAGCTTAGAAACGCATGATGATTGAGTTCTGGACCCAATTTATATCTAAAGAACGCTGAGTCAACCCAACCCTCATTTTCTCTTGGTCAATCTTGGTAGGAAATTCGTCACTTTTTTCATTCACGGAAACTGCTAAAATGTTAACCACAACAAAGTGAAGTCGCAGGTTTGCATTCAATATTTGATTTTTTTTTTTCATGTTTGCGGAGGCTTTTTTTTCTTTGTCTACCTTATCTCTTACAAGGGCTTACCTTTGATAATGTTGTATTTCCATGTTCGTATTTTGTACCTTACCATCCCCATAATAGTATCAGTTGTCTCACACTCAGGTTGAAGCTCTTTTGATCGGCGACAAACCCACCAACATTAGTACAGTCCTTACCGAACTTGTCAAACTGACAAAGCCTGGGAACGAGCTGAAAGTTAACGCAAGCGAGCTCTCTTTATCCTTGGATATACTAGAAAAACTTGTGACGTACAACTCCTTGGAGAACCACACTGCCATTACCACACCAGCCGACCAACGTAACGTCTTGGAAGTAGCCAGTAATTTACTGAATGAAGAAAATGTGGAAACGTGGTTAATGTTAGAAGAGGTAATGCTGTTGGATTTTGCTAAATCTCATAATGGTATCACTTTCGTGATTTATTGAATGACTGTCTGACCAATTGGACGACTGATCGTTTGAATGACTGACCGATAGACTGACTGACTGAAGGTTGACAGCCGCAATTACTAACTGACTGATTGAATGGCTGACTGTCTAGGTGACTAATAGGCTGATGACTGACTGACAGACCGATTCACTGACTAACAGACTGACCGACTGACTGACTGAATGGCTGACTGCCTGAGTGACAGACTGACTGACTGTTTAACTGATTGATGGCCTGAGTGACTGACTGACTGACTGTCTCACAGACTGACGGCATGGGTGAGTGACCGACTGACTGACTGACTGACTGACTGTGGAGAAAGACCCCTCGATAAAGACCCACTTTGGAATATTTCTAAATAATGTTGCTGTCCCTTTTTTTCCAATCACGTGACTTAAAATAATCAGATGATGTATCAGTAATAGCCCAAGTTAAAAATACAGAAATAGTTCAAGGAACAATATATCATGCAAAGAGGACAAAGATCTCACTTAATTGCATTGCCATCAACCTATACCATGTTTTCAAAACTTACCTTCATCACCTTTCATACTTAATACATGTTCAGAATCAAGAAAACATCATCGGTGTACTACTAAAGACAATGGAAGAGTTTGGTTCTCAAGTAAGCAGTCAGCTTGGTAGATCAATTAATTCTACCTCCTTCGTCCTTTTATCAAGAAACATTGCTTTCAGAGTTGATCGCTTAAACTGGAATGAAACGGTGAGTCAGCAGCATACTTTTGGTTTGCTCTCTTTTTTCCCTCCCACTTCCTTTGACGCATTATCACTGACCGTCAAGAAATGGCTACGAGTCGGACTGTAAGAGAATCATTTCCCCTGTAAATCCAACATGTTGTTTCCTTAACAAGCACGTCTTGTCTTGCGCATAGAGAGCGCTTTTTGATTACGTGCCATAAACCAAAACCAAAGTAATCGCAACGGCCGATCAGAAGAGAGAAAAATACCTTTAAGAGCCAATGAGAACTCAAAGTAAAACAACCAAGCTGCCTAAAACGTGGGAAAGAGCAGGCAACCAGGTCGTGATTGGTTTAAATTTTTCATCTGATTGGTTGAGAGAGTGGTGCGTGTTTTCTGGACCAATCACCGAGCGAAAAGCAAAAAAATGCAAGCTCAGATTACTCTTGATTAAATTGATCCAACCAAACATCTTCTTTTATTTCTGTTTCCAGCTTCATGTGAATTTCGCTCAACACGGTGCAACATTCTTTGCTCCTGGGTCAATGTTTTCAGATCCCTCAGGGAGCTGTGTGTCGACCATCGTCTACAAAACACTTCATAAAGTGTTTAGACTTAAGGAGAAGGGATTCAGTGAAGCTCAAAAGGAAGGGGGAAAGCTGCAGACGATTGGCTCGAGTATCATCTCAGCTACGGTTCTACCAACTCCAAAATTCCCATTGGAAAAACCAGTTAAACTGGTTTTTAAACGTAACAATCAGGTATGGGCAATATGAGCACTGAGCATTAATGAAAAAAAGGTGATAAATTAATGTCAACAGCACTGATTTAATGTGGTCCTATATACAATCGTATGACATCGTTTGCAGAGCCGTAATTTGATTGGACAGTGCGTATTCTGGGAGATTGGCCGATCGCAGCGAACGTGGCTTACACGTGGCTGTACACGTGTGGATCATGAATCAAATGCTCAAGTCACAACGTGCGAGTGCGATCATTTGACCATCTTCGCTATTTTAATGAAAAACAAGCCGGTAAGTTCAATATGTATCTCGCAATTTTTAATTCTGTATTTCTATACACGGTATGTTTCTTCCCTTAGTCTCTGAGTTGAGGGTCTCAATAGGGTGATGGCTTTTACGGCTCACGTTTAAAACTTTTCCCTCTGGCTATTCGAGCTGGTAAACTTCATAATGTGGCATGTTACTGCTCATTATATCATCTGAAAGGAGATGCTCTGAGTTTCTTTTAACCAGGCAGAGATTGCTGATTGGCTGAAAAAGAGGGCATTTTTAGAAAGCATTTTAAAACGCTTAACTTTGCCTCAATGTAAATGGGCTGGTTTCATTGCTTTGGCGTTGTTGTGTAAAAAACAAGATTTCACTTAGCTGATCCGCGCATTTTACAGTTCATTGACGCTAACAGAACAATGAAATAGCTTCCCACGAAAGCGCATAGCAGCGTGCGTTTTTGACCTTCGTAATAAAAGAAAAGTTTGCTCTTTACATTATACACAAATAAACGCTTGCTTCCTCGTAAAATTGAGGGATAATATCACTTGCGTTTACAGAGGTTTCAGAAATCGCAACTTCTGAGGCCCCATGCGATGAACTATACTAATGTTGAATAAAATGTTTTCTATTTTATTTTATTTTTTCTATTTTCATTTTAGGTGCAAGCACAACATCAACACAACCTTGAGTATATTTCCACGATAGGCTGCGCATGCTCTCTACTGTTCCTTCTGCTGACCTTTACGGTGGTTGTTTTGTGCTGGAAACAAGTAAAGAGTATTCGAGTCATAATGTTACTGAATCTTTGTGTGGCCATTGCTGCTTCTTGTTTTTTGATCATCCTGGTTGGATATGCGAAAAAAATAGAGGTAACTATAAGATATGGACCTTTATATATATTTTTACATTGAGATAGCTGCAGGTTTTTTTTACCTCCCCACTCTCTGCTCAATCATTTCTAAATTGTTTTCGACACAGAATTAATAACGTCAGGCTACGTCCATTATTTCGTTGGGTTCATCTGTTATTTCGCCGGTAGTCATTTATACTCTTAAGTAGAGTGTGTAATTGTGGGAGCAAATAATCTCACACGTGATTGAAACATAGTGACCCGGCCAGATCTCAAACCCATATCTCTCTATCTCTCTATTCGTAGTTCACTGTGCTCACTTCCAGGCCTCCGCGTTAGAAAACTGATCTCTTTATTTTTTGTCCGTAGATGCTATGCACAGTCACTGCAGTAAGCCTCCATTATTTCCTATTGTGTGTATTTTCATGGATGCTGGGTCATGGCGTTATCCTGTATTTCCTGATTATCAAAGTTGAGACGCAAGACAGTATAAAGTCAAGGATGAAATGGATCTACACCTTTGGATGGAGTAAGAGAAATGACTTGTTTCATTAAAACTTGCGACCTCAATTGTTGCTGAGTGTCGTCGAAACAGCCGTCGATCACAAATAATTAATAACAGTCAGATATCGAGGAAGGATCATGTAAAAGGGATATCGATAGCAGCCTGTGCACGTGAATACAGTTGAAGCTTGATTATTAATTTGATTTTTTTTTTTTTTTTACTTCCAGTTTCCCCTCTGCCAATTGTGGCCGTGTCATTGGTATTGACTGGTGCCGATAGTTACGCAGCCAATAACTGCTGGCTGACAATAGAGTATGGGATAATTTACTGGACCTTCGTTGTCCCAGTTGCGATAATCGTGCTGGTTAGTGGTGTTTTGTTTAAATTATTTATTTCATGACTCACCAAGCATTTTCACTCACACGCGATTGGTCTAAACGCATCACTTCAGAATTAGTCCTTACTAAGACCTGGAAATATGCGGCGAGTTTCTCCAAATAATGTGCAAAGAATGTTCGAAACAAATAAAATCTTTTTTTAAATTTGAATCTAGATAATACAGCTAGGGTGTTTGTTATCGTTACCGAAGCGTTAAAAGTCGAACGACAGAAGTCTGCTAAGTCAACATTTCTCATAAAGAATATCAGAACAGTCTGCAATCATGTAATCTTCCACCTTTCTGTCAACGCAATGTAACAGTCCCATCACAAAATCATAAATCTTTTATAAAACCCGCTTTGTTACTTATCACATAATCAGTAAGTTCAAATATGTCAGCTATTTCATAAATTTAACAAATAATGATAACTAACAAATTATATAACATGTCTTTGTCCTTTTTTTCAGATCAACTCGATTTTGTTTTTTGTCCTGCTACATCGTATAAGCAGAGCTTCAAGGTCCAAAGAAAAGATAACACGTGCCAAGCACGTGAGGGCTTGGTTACGTCGTTCAGCAATGCTATTGCCATTAATGGGAGTCACGTGGTTGTCTGGCTTTCTGACGTTCATTTCCTCTACAGTTGTTTTTCATTACATTTTTACCATATTGAACTCGCTACAAGGATTCTTTATCTTTTTTAATGTTTGCGTCTTAGAAGATACGGTGAGCTGTAACCATCTGCTGTAATTTAAAAATGCGTGAAACTGAAATTCAATTAGAAATTAGGTGAAAGTATGCTTTGACGTTTTAGGTCGTTTTAGTCAATGAAATTCTTCAAACTTTCCTCTAGCTCAGAGATTCTATAGTCAAAACATTGTGTGAGTGGAATGCTAAATGTCCTTGATTCCTGTAAAGACTAAATCTTTGGAACTAATTTCTATTGAAAAAAAAAAGTCATCAGAAAGCATACCTGTATGTTTTGCATCGTTGGAATGAATCAAGTTCTTTCTACTCTCTCCATAGTTCAGAGAATCTATGGTTATTACGTTGTGTAAGCACGCCAGGGAAAACTCTGACCGGTACCTGAATAAACACGTATTAAGATCCACTCCTACACAAATACAAATTGCAGGTTGGTAATGATTTTCCTTGCCATCAAATTTAATTTTTTTCTATTCTATATGAAGAAAATTCTCGATTTTAGCTGGTTGAGAATAAACATTTTTCCTTTGGTGGCTCGAATGCTGCTGATAACGCACTAAAGAATTTATGGTTTTCGCATTAATTTCTGTGGGAGGGGTGAGAAGGGTGGAGGACACGAGTCTTAGTAACTTATTCCATAGGCGGCTGCCGGTAGCACTATAGGCTGCTGTACCATATGGCAAAACCCAAACACGAGAGCATGCTCGCACTCAACATACGGCGGTGAGAGGTCTTACAGGGGGCAGTAGACCGCCAATAACCGACTCTTGTTGAAACTCCTGTTGGGAAGGACTCTTTTTTTCCAGGTGCTCCAATGTATCGTTCTCCTTTTGTAACTGTTTGACTGCACCAGTGTGGTATTCACCTCTCAAGTTTTCATATCAAATGTTCATATCGTTATCCTCATGTAACTGATGGCATCAGTGAAGTAGTTACCTAACTTGCACAACTTAAAAATTGTGTAAACGGAAGTTGAAAAGAAACGAGTTTCCTTGTGCGTACGTTCTAGGTTTCTAAATCTTGTAGTCTTAGGAAACCTTGGTAATAAAAAAGGGTTCAGCTGCTGGCTTTTATTTTTCATTATAGATGCTAGCAGAGCTAAAATTTCGTTCTGGGCGTCGAGCAAATAACAAATACTGAGTTTCCGTCGGTAATCTTACTCCAAATTGATATATTCTGCGAATTACTTTTGTCTGAAGTGAGATGCAATGATTCTAACAGTGTAAGGGGTGCATTATCCAGTTCCAGCTCCAGTATTTTCCTCCAATTAGCAATCTTGTCTCTGCGGGGTGATATTGTTGAATTGTTGTTCAATCAGTACCTCGAAACCAGCTTTCAACCGCGTGCTCCTTTTCGCCTAATCAGTAGGAAGGATTAGAGATGTTAATCAAGGGGTCCTGTAGGTGAGGCCGCTTTGATTTCGCAAATAGCATATTCTTTGTCATCGTAGCGTTGTGACAATCATAGACATAATCGATGTCTTTGGCTCCTGATCGCATTTCTGAGACTGCCATTTTTTGTTATGTACAGGATATTGGTGTTGATATATCAGAGTCTAAATTCTCTCTCCTTAGCGACTTCAGGGGTTAGGAATCTTTTTCCATCCATACTTGACCATTTGCGTCAACAGTTCCTTCCAGCAAGTCTCTAGTTTTCGTACACAATCTGCATTTATATACCAGGCTTGTGCTCCTCACAAGAGGCGGGATTGAGCACATGCTTGCATTACAGGATCATTTGCTCTTATCAACTGAGTTAGTAATGTAACTTGGCCACTGCTAAGAGTATAAAAGCTGACTTTTCGTGCGTTAGCGCTTCGTCACTGATCTTCCCATTTGCTGATGTTTCTACTTCTGATTCACTTTGCAGTTTCTAAAGACAAAAAGATTAATGTTAGTCAACAAGAAGGATTTGATGACCTCGCAAACAACAAGGACTCAAAGAGACTCAAAATTAAACGGCAGAATTGGATGACAACCAGTCGTCTTTAGCAGAAGAGACGACAGATCTATATGTTTTAGAATCAGAATAGATACAAAGGAAAGTTATGCGTTGGACGAAAACAAAAACTTGAATTTGTGGCAATCAGAGCTTCCTTTTCCCAGAAAGACATTTTTGTATAATTTGAAATATGATGGCAATATCGTATTTTCTGGTGATTTGATCAAAACACTTTACCCAAATGATTTAAAAATAAACCCAAAAATAAGACTGAGAAACAAGGTTTTTATTATCATTTCGTTTTTTTCGTCACTTTAAAGAAACTTTTATCAAGCTACCCCATGTTACATAGTAAATGCGATTCCATACGAGCCCCCTGATTGGTCAAAAACCTATCGTTTATGCACCCACAAAACATTGAAGTTTCTTTTACAAAAGCCCCGATTTGTGATTTACAAACTTCGCTCGTGTTCTCCCAACATCCCGCGCGCGCTATTACGCCAGTAAACCGATAAACAGTGCGGTCTATAGCTGGATTAAGCGGAAACAATGTTTCAAGCAACCAACAACTAAAATACTGGTTTATTGCCTTTTATAATTGCTTTAAGACGAACTCAGTGTATTCAGCAGGCCCGTCACTGATCAAGTGCATACAAACTGAAGTACTGGTTTTGTCGCCTCTTAATAATAGTAGAACACTGAAAACATATGATTCAGCAAACATTTCTGGCAAGTGAGCGCGGCCATTTAAATTGAAACCTGTAATAGAGGGCCCTGAACAGGTTTTTCAGAGAATTCTACTACTTTGAGAACAGATGGGTGTGCAGTTTGGAGAGCATGTTCAGTTTAGGCAGACAATTATAAGAACCTTTATATCTATTGGTTAATAGTTACCTATTCAGTAGATTCAGGCATGTCAATAAGTATACGAAACAACAGATTGAACCACAATAAGCAAAAAGCGCTTACTGTATTATTTTCATATTTGAAATAAAATTTCATTTGCCAAACCTCCACGTCAGTGTATAGCAGCAAATGACATATAAGCTCTCAGTCAGAGAGCGGGCGACAAAAAGCTGGCTGCAGTTGTCAGGGAAACGGCGGTTATGAAGGGAGAATTCCTTTTCGTCATTTTTTTGATGGAGCCCGGAGTTTTCTCAAGCTAACTGATTAACGCCCCCTCAAAAAAAAAATGAAAAGCTTTCAACAGGTAATAGAGTATTCGCGTGAGTTTACAGACCCTGACGCAAACTGGTTCGCCGGGCAAATATAGAAAAGATCTGAGAGCTGGAAATTACTGCTTTACACTTTCAGATAATTGAAACTTGATGCTGATGTTCCTTGCTACTCAAGACTATAGACTAATCATTTTGTTAATGGCATATGGCATGTGACAAGCTTTCACATGAAGTTAAGGCTTAGTTTGTTTCATCAAAAAAACCCTCAAAGATTCAGAACTTTTAAGTGAACGAAGAGGAATAATGATTCTGTGCTAATTATTTATGCATGTGTCATACCTAATTGACACCCCCGAGGTTTGAAAGAAATCGCTCTCTTTCTCCGAAGAACAGCGAAAGTTAGAATGTGAAAGCTAAACTTAAAGCTAAAAGGGCATTAATCAATTTGACAAAGGTGGTCTTCTGGGATATTTCCTTTTTGACCTAACTCATCGACAGATGCACTTCCAGATGAAGTTTAAGACGTCTTAGGAGCATCAAGTGTTTGATTTAATGTGACAGGTAGGTTCAATATTTTATCAAAAGAGCCTCTTTATTTACAGAATGAGCATGTGTTTTTATTTCGATAATGCATCCTGTCCTTCAGACAGCTTAAAAGAGTTAGGATAACGCGTGGAAATTCTCACACTTCGAAGATGCAGATTTTAGCGCTGTTCACGCTGGTATCCACACTGCAACATCAAGGTAATTTGTTTCATTCACTGTTAGCATAGTTCAGTTCGTACTGGTTTAGCTTTGTGGAAAGGCCACTAAATATGATTTCTTCTATATTTTTTGTCAAGGGTTAAATATAAATAGCTTTTAGAGGCCATGGAGTAGTACAGAATAAAGATTCTCGGGAGTTCTAGTTTGCAGATCGGCAAGTTTTTAATTTTGTAGGTGGAAATATTTGCGTTTCGAGTGGACTTAAATTCTGCTGCAATAAAACTTCGGCGATGATCTGGTCTGAAGAAAGACATAAACTATGATGTAAACTTGCTATTTTTAAGTTTTCTCCCATATCGAGTTACTTACGAGGCCGCAAGACGTTCAATGAACGCAACTGGAAATTCCAGGTTAATTCATCCGTTTATAAAGAACACGAGTTAACGGTTAACTGGAGCAGGGAGTTTTTTTTACTGAGGACTGACTATGAGTCAGTAGAAACTGTTGCACCGCTTTGTTTTGCGTTTTGTTTTTTCGGGCGGGGACTTATTTTGTGGAAAGTATCTGTTCATTTATATGTATATATCTAGCTGTCAACCTATATCTATCACAAATAAACAGTTTCCATTCGCTTTGATTAAGGGCTAACGCTCGAAACGTTAGCTTTGAAACTCTTTACGATGGCCAATTTACGTTATCAACTCAGTTGATAACACCAAATTATCTTGTTATAATCTCCCACCGACGCAAAACCTCTCTCTAGAAACTTACCCCCTCTGTTACAAAGAAATATCAACAAAAACTGAAACCCGCAAAATTGCGACGGCCAATTTACGGTATCAACTCAGTTGATAATACCAAATTACCAAATTTCCATTTTAATCAAAAACCGGCCCGAAGATTGATTAACATCAATTCGTCTTTCTTTTAGAGGAGAAGAATTGATAGAAAGCTGGCCAAGTAACGTTAGGAATCGTCATGTTAGCATATTTACGATTTTCCAGATGAATTTTATTGGTGCATGAATGAAGATTGAAGATAAAGAAAGAAAAGAAATATGGCAGTCGAAAGAGGAAAGTTCTTGGCAGATTTCAAAACTGTTCTACGCCGATTGCATCGAATTCTATACCTTATATCCAAGCAAAGTTTAAAAAACTCGGATTTCGTTTTAGGTATCAGTAAATACAAAGCAAAGCCGTTTATTTTTTAGAGACAAAATCCGAATTTGCATTTTAACTTAAAGAGTTAGTTTCCGATTTCAGTTGGACTTACGCAATTCTGACAACCCCGAACATTTTTAGGCCGAGATCACACTCGAATTTAAGACAAGCGATGATTATTTGAAATAATAATTGTATAAAAAAATATGATTCAATTACCGGTGAGTTACAAGAGCTTGCCCCGCAGCGCAAATGCGATTGGCCCAAAATCATCGCCTAACGCCCTTAATGTTTTTTTGACCGGAAAGTTCTTCTAACTGCCAAGAAACTTGCCGTGGGGCTAATTCAAAAATTAGAAATATTATCATCGCTTTTCATAACACTTCCGGACGATTTTAAGGATCACAAAGGGGGAATATTTGGTAAAAAAGAACTTGTCGCAATGCAAGACCGTGGAGATTCAAGAAAAATTATGACACATTAATGAAGCTTCTACTTTCGCATGGATGAAATAGGTCGTTGTATAGATCTGGTTATCACCTCTTCCACAGTTAGGGAAATTATAAATGCATCAACAGTTAACGGGGTATATATAAAATAAAATATTTTCCTTTTAAAAACCCGGACTGGTGGGAGGCAAACCAGGACGGGCAGGAAAAATTTAACCGAGTGATAGGTTCTAACGGTGCTTAGATATTTTCTTGGTCAGTTTTTGTGGGTTAAAACTTTTTCATTGTAAATAACCGAATTCTATGGTTTTAACTGGCTTTTAACGAAAACACAATAGCTTGTTAAGGTGAGCTTGCTACGCGTTTTACCAAACGGGGTCAATTTTAGGTCTGCTCCAAAAAAAACGAGAATCCCTGTCTTATATCTAGTATGTTTCAGACGGGTTTGGGGAAACGATCTCTGCTAACACGAATCGGCCTCGAAGCAAAGCAAATCCTTTGGAAATCATCATATAGTCGTTAATCTGTTTCTTACACAACTTCACATGAGAAAACAGTAGAGAACTGGAGATTCTTCAAATGTGAACAATAAATCAAGACGCGCGACGTAACCAGGTAATTCATTAAAAGTTCGCTTGAAACCATCTAAAATACAAATAACCTACTAAAAAAAAACGACGTTCGATTGTTGCAGTTTTAGGATACTCGCCCCATCGTTTTTACATGCATCTCGTCGTAAACGTTGGCGATCGAGTGGTCCTTTGGTGTACTGGTCAAGATTTGAGTCAGCTTCAAGGGAATGTTATCCTAACCTGGGAGAAAAGCCACAAGACCATACCAGCAGATGATCCACGACTGAATACGATAGCAAATGGCACTTTAGAACTCAACGATGTACAAAGAGAGGACGGGGGGATCTACCGTTGCACTGTCAAAGCGGGAGAGTTTCAAAGTATAAACACCACGTACCTTTTCGTCAGAGGTGGGCTTTCGTGGTGCTTTATTGTACAGTGAAGCCTAAATCTAGTGGACCACTTCTTCCCCTCCCCTCCCCTTTCCCTTTCCCTCCCATCCGATTCCTCTTCCCCCCCTCCCCCCCCCTGTTTTCAATCCGACCAGACCTTTTCTTTAACGTCTTAACTTATTCTATTAACACAACTATGGTTTATAGTAAATGAACGACATGAAATTGTTTTCTCTCACGACAGACACTTACAAACATCCCAACCTCACTTCCAATAAGATGTCTCCTCTACAAACACAGGTATGAGTTTTTATGAAGATATGAAGTCTTCTCAGTAATGCCAAAGAACACAGTTGAAATGAAAGAACGCTTATGTGGTCTTAAAAAAAAAGGGAACAACGACTACATTCTTGGCTTCGAACATTTAAGGATTTCACATAACATTTCGAAGGTTGACGGTGTAACATGAAATTCTAGAACAAATATTTTCTGAGGCCGGGGAGGCGAAAGTGACCAAAAACTCAACCAACTTGGAGGAGAAAACTCCCTGTTAATGGTTCGAAGCAACACATACAGACAAATTATTGACAACAGTGGGTCACGATCCCACAACCCTAGAGTTCAAACAAAAAGAAAGCTTAACCCTTTAACTCCCAAGAGTGACCAAGACAGAATTTCTCCTTACAATATCAATATAATATCAAGTAGACAAGTGTAGAGAATAAAGAAAAATTATCAATTTGGGGATTACTAGTTGATCCAGTATCAAATTCTCCGACCTAACATCAAAATAATTGTATGGCAGACAGTCAGGAGAATTACTAATGAGACCTTGGGAGTGAAAGTAACGTGAATTTGAATATATCAGAAAGTTGCTCGGAAGGTATTCATTGGGAAGTTTTTCTTTCGTTTGTAAGCCGGTTTTTTTTGTATATTTTCCCTTATACTCTCAATTGGAGAGTGGTCAATTACTGTGGTAGTTAAAACACTTCATATTTTAACTTAACAATACACTGGACGTTTCACTTGCTGAGTACATTTCTCGCCAGATTGAGGCCATGTTGAGTGGTAACCACTCCATCGACGTAACCACGGTCATTACACAATTTGTCACCTTGACAAGGCCTGGAAACGAGCAAAGACTCAACGCAAAAGAACTGTCTACATCCGTGAACATACTTGAACTACTGGTAACATACAATTCCCTGCAAAACAACGGGGCTTTTACCAAACCCGCTGACCGACGGAACATCTTGGTGGCAGGGAGCAATTTACTGGACGAAGAGAATACTCAAACATGGCTACAAATACAAAGGGTATTGAGACCAAAGATAGATGATGTCACTTTTAGTGGTCTAGACAAGCTCCTTCGCCCCGTTTAAATGTTTATCCGTCTTTTATCGACAAAGTTTTGTTGCCTCGATTTGAATCTAGGTGTGACGTCACCGATGGCGTCAGAGTTTCCTTTCTATCAACATGGATATCTGATTTTTTTCTCTCTAGAATCACGAAAACGTCACCGATGTTCTTTTAGAAACAATGGATGAGTTTGCCTCTCAAATAAGCAGTCAGCTGGGCAGTTCAATCAATTCCACTTCATTTGTCCTCTCATCAAGAAACATCGGCATCAGAGTCGATCGAGTTGACACAATCCAAATGGTTAGTCTCCCAAGTCTCACTCATAGAGCGTTACTATTATTGGGACATGACCAACCAGACCGGTTGATATTTAGCTACACAGGAAATTTCAATTAGCACCCAAAATGTCAAAAAGCATCCTTTACTTCGCAATCTTGCACATAAGAAAACAACAATTTTCTCGCGTGATTTGAATTGTAACGTTTCGGTCTCTTTTCTTTCTTCCCTCTTTTTTCGTCTCCATAAGCTCCGCTGATAATTTTCTTTCTTCCATCTCGTGGTTGCACTCTCTAAATGCACTAATCCAAAAGAATAAGATTCGTAGTGTCTCACTCCTCTCCCAGAGGAGTTTATCCGTAAGCCTAGATTTCGAGTACTAGGGCCCAGTTTTCCGGAGCCGGGGACCGCAAGGGCTGATCATGCAACACAGAATAACCTTGAAACTTCACGCGATGATTGATTGCATGCATAATAGCGTCCAAAATTAACACCATTTCCTTTTCAGCAACCTCGGTTAAGTGAGTAAACTCACTTGACTTTCGACTTATTTCTCAGCTCGCCGTCGATTTCTCTCAATATGGGGCATCCGTCCTGTTTCCTGGTTCAGTGTTCGCCAATAGTCCCACAAACATAGTAGCAGTCGTTGCCTACAATTCACTGCACAATTTTTTCAGACTTGAAAGAAAGGCATCCGATAATGAACAGGAAAAAAGGCCAGAGACCTCGAGAATCATTTCCGCTAAAATCATCCCTCGTCCAACGAGTCCTCTGAGAGTACCATTCAAACTGGTTTTTGATCACAACAACAAGGTGTAAGAAAGTTATATCAGTTAGTTAGTCCATGTTGTTAACAGTTGTTGTCAACGTGATGTTGCCTGTGCAGTCCTTTGATTGGATTGTGACAAACTCTGTTGTTTTTGAACAATATATTTTTTACATGTAATCACTTCTTTAATTTAATTGTGAGCACATTCCTTTACAGTAATTTAGACCCCACAAAAATTTTAAGTGTCTCGGGGGCACGGTTCAGAAAAAGCGTCCAAGCTTGAATTTTGCAAGCATCTTTTCCTGCAAGTTCTTTTCGAGTGGTTCACTTGCGAGGATTATTTTCTTATTTTACGTTATGTTTCTTCGTCTACTTCACTTTTATCCCTCAATGGCAATCGGAGAAACACTGACCTCTTTGGAATAAATCGAAAGCCAGTCAAACCATTATTGGTTATAACTAAGGAAAAAAAATTTAGGCTGCATTATTGCATTTCTTAAGAGCGGTTGTTCGAAGAAAGGATAACGCGTTCCACCTTGTAAATCTCCGTTAGCAAAACAATACACTATCCACAAGATAGCAATTTATGCGTCCTTAATAGACATTTCACGCTTCCAAAAAACCCAGTGTGGGGTTTTCTTAACTATCGACAATTTTGTGGTTTAGTATACGATCGTATTACCTTGTTTTTACCGTACAGGGCGGTGATTTGATTGGACAATGCGTCTTCTGGGAGATCGGCCAGTCGCACCGAACGTGGCAAACACGTGGATGCATGCGCGTGGATCATGAGTCAAACGCGCGTTCAACCACGTGTGAATGTGACCACCTGACGATTTTTTCAGTTTTGTTGAACAACGAGCCGGTAAGAAGTACTGAAATTCCATTTTGTAATTTCTTTCTATCTCGGACAAAATTACATTGCCTCATACTTCTTTATATTGCCAAGACATGCGAGATAAAAAGGCTTTTCTTTCTTTAAAAGGAAAACGCTCCAGTCATTTTCTTAGACCCCAAGAAAATCTATGTTTTAGGTCACAAAATATTTTTTTGATTTTATCGGGCATAATTGGACTTTTCACTTTCGTTTTTTAGATAGATGGCGGTGAGCAGCATCAACCTTACTTAGGGTATATTTCCACAACAGGCTGCGCGTGCTCTCTGCTGTTTCTTCTGCTGACCTTTGCCGTGATCGTATTGTACTGGAAACGAGTAAAGAGCGCCCGCACTATAATTTTATTGAACCTGTGTGTAGCTATTGCTGCCTCCTGTATTTTTATCATCCTAGCTGATCACGCACGAAGGCCTAAGGTAACAAACTGGAATCTACTTCCTAGTGACATTCATCAAGGATATTGTGCAATTATGATGGATTAGTGATAATAAGCTGTATACGCATTTTTATTGGATCTTACTTATGTTCTATTGGAAGACAAACACATTGTTTACATCACCGCAACAAAATTTTGCTGGTTATTATATAAAACGAATAGATTTCTTGTTCCCGTGGGTCCGTACAGTAATTGTTTACAGAAGATTTTAAAATGTGCGTGAAATGAAAATTTGTATGAAAAGAACATCTTTCTTGTTCTCCAAACTTTGCGCCTGATTCAGATCCAAATGAACGAGCACTACCGCAGGTAATTACTGTTAAACGGCTTGGCTTCCATGTAGTTCTGATCACCCTGGTCTCACCAAATAATATCCACTTAATCGAGTGGCGGTGACCACATGCACAGTAGACAAAACAATCAGCAAAGCCCTGATCGTCTGAGTAGAAACCAGTACAACCAACGCACCGGCAATAAATTTAAGAGGAGTTTAATTTCCTGACAACTCGACCGAACTCTTCTATTTACGCGCCATTGCCAGTGGTTTCTAAGTAAAGTATTACGAACATAATACATCAAGAAAGGAACTACTAATTACAAAACTGGAAGTAACATAGGAAATACTGATAACATAAGTAATCATAACCATTACAATTTCCTCAAATGTGATTGGTGCATCAGCTGCTTTATATTTCCCCTAATCACTCTGGACAGTTGAAATCGGACAGTGTAATCAAACAGTCGGCTGTAATCGGATACTTGTGGTGAGACAGTTGAAGCAGCCAATCATACTAAGTCCACTCAGCTAAATCCACCAATCACAGAGTTGATCACAATAACCATAGCAACAACCACTTACCTTGAAAAGAAAACTAGAAAATTTCTAAATTTTTGTCGTAGACATTGTCCCTACTGGAGATGTTTGTCCTACATGTATGTTTTTTTTTCGGAAATTGTAATTGTTGTGATAAATTGGTAACAGGACTTCGTATCGTTCAATTCTGTCTGTAATCATACTCGTAATTGACAAATCGGACTCCCGCTTCGCAGTTGTCCGATTTTGTTAATCACTCGTACGATTACAGACCGAATTGGACTCCACTCTGTCCTATTACCAATATAAATACGGGACATTCGACGAAAGAGAAATTTACCTGAAGATTTTGGGATACGGCTGACATAAGAACGTACTTGCGATTACATTTCAACTCGAGCTCACACCCCTTTTATTTTCATGATCCACGCTCAAGTTAAACTTATATGAATAACCGCACGGACTGGGGCTAGGAGGGGGATTGGTTTCTACACCCAGGTTGTGCTCAATTCTGAATTTTTGCTCGCCAGATCGTGCGGCCCACTTTGTGTGGTCGGGAAATTCCACATCATTTGAAAACCAGACCTAATGATGCTTTCTCGCTTTAGGTATTATGCACCATCACGGCCACATTTCTCCATTACTTCCTGTTGTCTGTGTTTTCGTGGATGCTATGTCATGGAGTTATCTTGTACTTCCTAATCATAAAAGTGGAAACTCGAGAAACTCTTGAACCAAAGATGAAATGGCTTTACGCATTAGGATGGGGTAGGAGAAAATAAATGTCATTCCACTACTTGTAACTACGGTTAAGTGTCGCCTCACTTTTTCCAAATTTTATTATTGTTCCAGGCTCCCCTCTATCAATAGTCGCTGTTTCTCTCATAGTTACTGGTACTGAAGTTAACGCAGCGAATAATTGCTGGCTGACTACGAAGCATGGAGTCATTTATTGGGCGTTTGCCGCTCCAGTCGCAACAGTTATAACTGTGAGTACACTCTTTCAATTAATGGCCGCCAGGTACGCGGTCAATTTGTTTGGACGCGAACTAGAAAATATTGGTCAGACATGAACATGGTGAAGTAGAAACTTATTTTCAAACCTAGAGGAATAATGTAAAACGACAAACTATCTCTTCTGAAACGAATAGCGTATTATTATTGATGAGTTAGGTCGGACTTGATGGGAAATATATGGGGGTCCTTACGGTTCATCTGATGATGTTTCTTGTAAAGTCCCAGTCCAAAGCTAAATAATGACAATAGTAACACTATAAAAATAAGACTCATAGCACCCACAACCATTAGCTCATAGCGCTTTACAACACTTTGCTGGGGACTTTGTCCAGATTGCATTGGCCATGGTCCCCATTTCGTAATCAAGACCAGAATGCCACGCGGCAGTTCGAAGCTCTACAACCTAAGCTACGTAGGCAGGGAAAATTCTGGTAGAAAAAAAATTAAACTAAGAGATGGGATAATGGAAGAGATTTTCAAGGAAAGTTTAGTAGTGAGCGTCGACGAAAGTGTTCGAGCCAATTTTCTTGACTCCCTTTCAATTAAATCCAACGCATCCACGCCATCTCTTAAGTATATTTTCCTCTCAAGTAGGCTTTTTGCATTTGTGTTTACTGAAGTATGTGCTGTTTGTTAGTGTTACCTTTGGCTGAAAAAAATGTCTCCCTGATTTAACCATGACATTAATGATCTTGCTTACCTTTTTTTATTGCGATTTTAAAATCAAAAAAAGAAATTTATTCGATAAAACAAATATCTTATATTCCTTGCTATGTTTTTTCCCTTTTTCAGATCAATTCAATCTTGTTAATTTTCTTGCTGCGCCAAATAAACAGAGCTGCACAATTTAAAGCCAGCATGTCACGTGCCAGGCCATGCGCCAAGCAGGTGAAGGCCTGGTTACGACGAACTGCAATGCTGCTGCCAGTCCTGGGAGTCACGTGGTTATTTGGCTTTTTGACGTTCATTTCCTCCACAGTTGTGTTTCATTATCTGTTCACCATCTTGAACTCACTTCAGGGATTTTTCATATTCGTCACTTTTTGCATTCTAGATGATGCAGTAAGTCTTTTGTGACTGTGTTTTAAGTGGTATATTTTTGGTTTTTTCTTGGGTACTAAATTTAACAAGTTGTTCTTAATTCTTGTCGTATTAAACTCTTAATTTGTTTGCTATTTTATAAATCTGCTTAAGATATATGCCTCTACATTAGATATCTTAAGGGAAGATTTAAAATCATCTTGACTGACCGTATGGAATAACGAATACGTCTCTTTCCTGTAGAGGTGCAGGGAAACTGTTGTCCCCAATAACTACAAAGTTATCGGTTCACAGAGGGGAGAACTTTGTTTCGGCGGGGGAGAGTGGGGTACAAATCCTTCGAAACATTTCTCCCTTTCCTCTTATTCAGTGTTGGTAACGAGGAATTTGGACCACCTGCAAAAATGCGTCCCCTCAGTAATCTTTGTATCTTTGGGAGAAGTCCTCTTTTACTCGTGGATATACGAGGCATATGATGGAGTTATATTGGGATTCCATTTGTAAATTTCGTGACGTTAGCGCGCCCTTATGAGTCTAAGGAGAGTATGCATCTCATCAAAGATACCAAACCGATTGTTAATCTCTTCCTCCAGGTTAAGGAGACGTTAATTGGTACATTATGTAAGCGGAACGCCGTGTCGTCTAAAGAACAGTCAACGTTGAACTCCAAGAACGCTGTGCGAAGCATCTCTGTCACACGAATTCAAACAGGTGACGAAGTATAAGAACGCATTTTAATTTAGTATTGAATGCACTGAAGACCAAAAAAAAATCACAATGGCCAATCAAAACGAGGCAAGTATGGCAAGGTCAAGAAGAATTCAAGGTAAAACTAAGCAAATTTCCTGAAGCGCGAGAAAATGCACGTGAACAGGTCGCGATTCGCGGTTTATCCGATTGGTCTAATAAAAGGGTGACGCGAGTCGTCTGGAGCTAATCACAGAGCGAAAGAAAACATTGACAAAGCTGTAACTTAAATTTTGAAGAGTTTCAGATAAATTGCCGTTTTGTGCGTAAATGGAACAGAGTAAAAATAATTTTCAAACACCTAAATTCAATTTTTTTAGTTCACAAACATGTTTCAGTCGACACTCCTGTGTCGTCTTCAGTTAAAAGTGTTTGTTGTACAACTTAATTTAACTCAACAGTTACGTCCCAACAATTTCGTTCGCTAAACGACGTCATAAAGAAACTTCATGGCGCACTACATATGATCGACATCATCATCAAGACTAACGACGTCAGAAATATTTACAACGTCATGAACTTAACGACGTCATAATTACTGTTTTTATAAGGGTCATTGACGAAAGTTTATAGGATCAACAATGCACGGGTTCGTTTCCATGGAGACAATAAGAGACTCTTTTCCCATCCCTTTTTTTTCCAGCGTATTTCAAATTTAATATTCTGCACGTAATTTTGTGACGTAACTGATATTGGGCAACCATAAAGAAAAAATCAAATTGAACACGAAGATTTGCCACTGAAGATAACGTAGATATGTCGGAACATTCGTTTGGTCGCATTTTTGGAATTACACTTCTGCACAGGACACTCGTGACAGTGCTGATCCTGGCATTTTCCAAACCGGGCGACATACATTGTTTCATGATATAGCCGAGTAATCTAGGAGATCTGTTGTTCAATTTCTCGCAGGGTTTCAGGACTCAGATTTTTTTTTCTTATGCGCCTGCGAAAATTTTTAACATATTCCTTTATTACTGAAACTTTTTTTTCATTAAGGCCTGCGAAGATCGCTATAGTTAAAATTTTTTTCTGTTTTTGTGTGTTACACCAGTTTATTGGTTGACTTCATCGTCTTCTTTGTTTCCATATTCCATTATTTTTTACAGTTCAAAATGCAAGAACTACAGCTGCAAATCAACACGGAGGAACATACAACTTTTCCAGCGATACTGAGCAATCGAAAGTATCAGGACCAAAAATGCAGACATGGATTGTAGCTGATATAAAATGAGATGACTGATTCTGTAAGAGAGAAATTTAAAGAGGCCCTGCTATCAAGGTTGCCTATGGCGTTACCCCGTCGTTTGATCACGGCAGCCGTTTTAGTCTTAGATCCTGATAATAGGAGAAAATGAGTGAGAATGATTTTTTCCCCTACGATCATGATATTAGTACTTTTTTTTTGGAACATTTTTTTAACATAATTTTTGTTATTATGTATTCTTAGAGCTACGAGGCTGGCTAAAACAATCAAATACTGAAATATTAGACTAGGTGACTGTAGAGTAAGGAGCCACTAAGCCCGACAAGACCTAAGGGTAAAATGTTTGTTCCTACTCTACGCCCAGCCACTCTTATGCAGATAGGTTCGGCCCACGAGTCAGGACAAAGGAGCAAAACAAAATACAGCAGAAGCGTGTGAACACTGAGAACAATGTTCGCGCGCGGCAAAAGGCACTGGGAACGAGGCAAGCGCGCGCCAAGATGTACTCATTATGACCGCACAATCATAATCATAAGATTAACATGTCCGACGAGTTCAGTCATCAAACTTACAGTGGCTCACTTTTACATAAGATCACCTCATAATTGCAGGCTCCTGGGAAGTGAGGGCACCAAGTGAACTGAAATGGCAAGTTTACAATAACTGTGTTTACCTACTTCTTCCCTTTAGTCTTGAAAATTAGTTACATCATTGGTAAGGCGGTTGTCAATTGCTTGTTTCCTTTGTTTATTTTCTTCCTGCTACGACGCCCTCTTCCTCAGCTTTATCTTATGAAAGCCAGCGTTTTCGTATTTTTAAAGTAACCACACGGATGAAATTTTCCTAAGGTGCTGACAAGCAGAATTTGTTTAACAATCTAGAGTTTCTATCGTTGGTGATCATTTTCTTTCTTCTCGTGACCTCTATGTGTGATTTTGTGGGGTGATATTGTAAGGAGAAATTAGATGCTGGTCACTCTCGGGGGTTAAGGGTTAAATAATAGTATAAACTACATATCAACCACTTCAGCGAGTTTGACACGTCAATCAGTGCAGACCAAAAATACACGGTACCATATGTAGAATTTTATTAGTGGCTTATTGTACCGTCATTTGCTCTCTAATTGTACTACATTAATAACTATTTCTCTACGTATTACTCATGATCTGTTTTAATTTCATTCAACTTCCCAATCCTGCAGTGAAATAACTCTAGCCTTGGTGGCAATTATTGTTGACATCACTCGCCAAGCTTCTCTAGAGCAGCTAACTCAGTTATTCATCTGCCCTCCCATGAAGGTTGCCTTCCTAAATGCATACTCATCAGAGTGGAGCGAAACTCACAAATCCCTGACGGTGCGAAAAAAAAAAGCACAACTGACAAAATGAAACATGAAAAGAATCGTAAGGAAAAAAAGATATCTTTCTGGAAGCTGAAACCTTAAGGACAAAAAAGAAATTGGGCATATCGAGCAACAAGTTACGACGGAAATAAAACTAGTTCAGTAACATTAAATTTCACTACTAAAGTTCCAGACTAAAGGCTAGGGTCCACGTAACATAAAAAGGAAACTGCCTTTTGGAATGAAAGCCTCGGTGGTTTAAAAAACATGGACAATAATAATTGAACAAGACTTGAAAAAAACAAATTACAAACTAACAAAACTACAGGAAAAAAAATTTGGTGTGAGTTTCTCCTCTCTTATCAAGTACTCGCCCTCTTCCCATCAAATTTACTTCCTAACATTAACTCATATCAAGAAATCAAGCGTTATATCACCTAATTGATAGAATAAATGTACTACTCACTATCCTACGCTACATCGTACGAAAATCAGGCTCAGTGATTCGGCACCGCTTGGAAAATTGTAAATAGACCAGCATGTGTTGGTTTTTTTAATGGAACTTGAATTTGTCACGCGAAATAAAGCTTTTATACTTCCCAATTCCGATCTTATCTCTGGTGAATTTTATCGCCGATTTCCTTCAGCAATATCAGAATAATCGTCCTATAAACAAAGTAGATTTGACACCAGAATCGATCAACCCTTGCAATCTCGAAGAACAAGAGGGTCTCAGAAGGCTCGAAAAAATCTTTCAATTTAACTTTTCTTTCAGCAACTGACTAAGAAACTAACCGCTTTTGTTGCCCTCTGTCGAGTGATCCGGGCTACATTGACAGTGAATTTAAGATCCGTACGTGTTTAACCTGGGCTGCTAACGTTGAGTTCTTCGTAATTAGGATCTACACTCGATTTCCTTGAGCCCTCCTTTTCACCTCTTGTTCAGAATCAAGGAAGCTCCAAGCGGATTAAGATAAGATATGATTCGTTCGTTCGTTCAACTGTACACGAAATGACAGGGTACCTTGAAGTGAAAATATACAGTGCTTTGATGAACGATACATTGTGTAAAATTGTACACAATATTGTGCTAGAGTGTTGTCCGTCATTTCTCTCACGACAGGATTGGATTTCAAATCATATTCTATGAATACTTTCAGTTTGCCTACACCTTTAAATTCATCGCTTACACTCCGACAGAAAGCTTCAAACGACCGTCATTTTAACAGAAAAAAGATCTCAACAGTTACAGGCCTCAAAAATTTTTAATTTCACTTTTAACTCGGACAAGAGCACTCGCACAATATCCCTGCAGTATGTGGCAACATGTGTGGCAGAATAGTTTTAGTATTTACACCAGCTATCTGACAGGCAATTTTAGTTCCATATAATAATAACCAACAACGAGCCTTGTGTTTGTCTATAAATATCTGAGTTTCTCTAACAAAAATATAAACTAAAATTTTTCTTTCTTTTTCTTTCTCTCTCTCTCTCTCTCTCTTTCTGTTCTTGAAACGACTTAAAATGGATATAGAAACAAGACAATAAAATAGCAAACAGGACGCAAGTACGAATAAATTTATAATATTGAAATACGTTTTGTTTGACTCTTGGAAATTCTTCTTAAAATTCTGTAAAACCATGATCTTGAGCAATGCAAAAGCACTTTTTTACAAAACAGATCATAAAGCTAGTAATAATCAGACAAAATAATAAGCTGACATAGCTGTTTTTTTTTACTGTAAACAGCTTCAATTTGATTCCAACATACTACTACCGATTCACCCCAAGATGACAAAAAAAAAGGCCTGATCACATTAACCTACAGGAAACATTCTACGTGTACATATGACATAACATCAGCAAAGAAGAACATAACATTACCAATAAAGTTTAAAAACTGTAAACCACTGAAATATTTCTGGAACATTTCTTGTGCCATGACCAATCACATTTGCAATCATTACACAAAAGGAAACCCAAAACCATACACTAATTACAGTTTTGTAATCTTGTGTCTGGTTGGCTTGTTAATCTTGAAATGAGAGCAACCCAGAAATATTCCTGGCGTTCCCAGTTTTTCAACTTGACATTTAGCCATACACATTGTTCAAAGAACAAATTCATGCCTCCACCCACTCCCATTTAGGCAAAGACAAAAGATGCACAAGATACATCTAGCTTCCAAACCAGACCAAGAATCACGTTCTGGAGAATGCAACCCATTGCAGAGAAAACAAAATGCCTCTTGATCTCTCATATGATCAGACACTTGACTGACCCAAAATTCTTAGAATTCTTGACAAAGTACATGTACCCTGTGCATATTTTGCTTCCTAATAACATATACGTGATTATTTATCTTAACAAATTGAAGCACCTAGTACTGTGGGTAAATGTTTTGCGGATAGCCTCCTTGTTCACTGGTTGGGTATCCATCATAACCTCCATACATTCCTCCATCTTGAGTAGGAGGTACCCCTCCCGGCCATGACCCCTGCATCTTGGCAACGACTGCTGGCGGTGCCACACTGGTAGGGGCATTACTGATGGGTACATAGCCAGAAGGATAAGAACCTCCATCTACGCTACTGATTGGACGGCCAGAATTCGGGAGGCTGTATGCCCCTGTGAGAAGCCAAATTTACAACAAAAAAGCCTTTGAAATCAAATCCTCTCACATGTAACAATTAACAGAGCAGTCACCTCCAATATTAACAGCAAATAAGAGAAACTGATGAATATCTTTTGCCAGCTCTGTGACGTGAAACTAAGGTTAAACCTTTTAACTCTCAGAAATGATTAACATGTAACTTCATCTTGTAATATCCTTAATTTTTCTTGTAAAAAGGTACTGAGAATACTCAAACTTATCAAGTAGAGGTTGTTATCTTGACCTAACACCAAATACCCCCAACTAATTTACAAGAAAATGTGTAGCAGTTTGTGGAGAGAATTATCAATCAACTCTTCGGAGGTAAAGGGTTCACAAATGTATGCTAGTCTAGTTTAGGATGTTCTGCGGCCATATCCTCTTCATAGTTCACTGAACATTTCACAAAAGAAGATGAGGACAGGAAAGGGGTTTTTTTTTCACAAGGTTACTTCGGTTACTGCATCCTGAACCCCAACGGTCTCCTATCTTTAATTAATGACTTCAGGTTGGAAATTTAAGAACATAAGTGTACAAACAAGATGTTGAAAGTTATTTCTCTTTTTCAAGCACTAACATTTTTAAATCTGGACTGAAAACAATTAGGAGAATTCAACAGCATTTAAGATCCCAAACATCAAAGATCCAATCTAAAGATCTGATCCCAAGATCTGATCCACAGGCCTTGACTTTGCATTTGAGGATGATGGCTGCAGCAAAATATATTTCGAGAGGTACTCGGGGAAAAAACAACACTGCCCTTCACATCATAACATGACTGTAATTTAATTTCCTAAAAGGTATCTAACCACAAACCTGGGGGTAAAGGACGGGCTGCATACGCTGCTGTAGACGGAACTGGGGTTCCAGTAGTGGGTGGGATATCCGTTGCTGCTGTGGTAGTCACTACTGAAATACAATATTGGATAGATTAAGGGAGGGGCTGAAAAAATATGTATCCGTGGACTTGATATTTATTACCTAGACATACCCTCTATTGGCACACCAAGCTGCTGAAGTGTGTACTCAGCAGCATAGCTCTTGGCCTCTTCTACTGTGCGGCACAGCTTAGGAGGCTGATATTGAGTAGCCAATCCTGGAATGGATACCTTAAAAGAAAATTAACAAGGATTAACAGTAATTAGAAATCAATTGAGTTTTTGCAGGCTAATAAAAATGCCTTCTAGTTTGCACTGCTGGTGTCGATTCCGCACAATTTGATGACATGAAAGTAACAGGAAAATGGTGTGGAAATTTTTGATAATTGAATTGCACCCTCTGCCATCACTTTCAACAATCACACTGAAACTGTCACTCACTCACTTTGGAGCTGCCAAATAAACAATGTAAATTTGGTTTCATCACCTGTGTTGGCAAGGCAAATTGGCTGCTACTCCCACCAACACAGCAACACAGCTTCTTTAGAAACTTATTCCCCTCTCATTCATTTATCAAGAAAGCACTTTGTCAAAGATAGCAAATCTTTGAGTTGTCCATAAGTCATGATGTAGTGAGGGGGTCCCTTATGACTTAAGCAGGAAAAGTGAGGATTATTTTTGGAGCTATGGAAAGGTGCTCTGTGATAGGAGGTTATGACTTAGGCTTATGTAACAAGTAGTATGAAAACACAAACAAAAAGACAAACTGATGTTGATTGAGCCTTGATTCTTCACAAAATGTACTTGCAAATTCCTTTCAATCACTTAAGCCTTTTCTAACCTTGTGAAGGAAAAGCTGGATGTCCTGTGGTCCCACAGTACTGTGCAATGTGTACACAGGGCTACCCCACTGGTTCTTCTGACACACATCTTCTAGAACCTTTGATCAAGTAAACAAATTTACATTAATAACCATCCGATTGACCAAGATTAGCCTGTCCAATTATGTTCAGTTAATTCAATCAGTAAAAGCTTCACACAATGGGAAATGTATCGATGTTTGATCTTTTTTTGTAACCAACCAGTTGCACTTCTTTCCCTCTTTTTTTTCCTTTAAACAATGAAGGAGATATCTACAAAAAATGACAATGTGAAGCTTCCCACCTGAGCTGGTGATTTCAGGGCATGTGGCTTCAATGTCATGGGGTTAGTGGGTGTCAACTCCATTCCCGGCACCAGATCAAACATACGTTCCTACATTCAAAAAGTCCAATTTTCAAAGTTGAAACTCAAACTCTTACACATGGCACCTATGTAATCTATGGTTGTGTATTGACTGGTCCTCGAAAAATATAACTTCAGTGTAAAAATCTTTTTGATACTTACTGATTTTTAATATTGGAGTGATATTGTTTACAGATTTTACTATTCGGCTTTTCAAAAAATATTATTAAACAAATCAGTACTGGTAAGGATGAAGACCATTTCCTAAAAAAATTTTCATCTGTAAATTTGTACAACTGAGGCAAGACTTTTCAAATCCTAAATTCTGACATAGCCCCTTTAAACTTACCAAGGAGAAATAGGAGGCATCAATCACACTGAGTTTGACTTTTAGTGAAAGATAAGCATACCATCAATTAGCTAGCAACTTCCACATTTATAACTAGAACCGTATGGAATAAATACCAAATTGTTACAAACCTCCTGTCTTCCTCCTCGTTTGTTGTAACCATCCCCATACCAGCCTCCTCGCACTGCTGGGTAGTAGCTCCTAAAACCATTGAATGAATATCCACCTGGAGAAGGTAAATACACTCCCTTATTTCCTGCTGCCCTGCTACCAGCAGCTGAACGTCCTCGTCCTCTTGCTCTTACCATTCCAAAAGGAGGCCTCACACCTCTGGACAGAGAAAATAAATTTAAACAAAAATAAAGGAAGGCCATAATGTCACAACTTTCACCACTTTTGTGTTTATGATTTTCACATTGCCACTCAAAAAATACAATCTCCGATAAATCGTCTACTTTAAAACATTCCATGCAATATTTATTGTCCACCAGTTAGTTTTTTCTCCCTTAGAGAAGACAAGTCTATGACCTAATGGAAGGTTGATAAAATTAAGAATGAAAGAAAAAGTTGATTCCATAATTTAAAGTATTTAAACAAATTCCATACTGCTTTAGTTTTGCTGATTCACTTTGCTTTAATAACCTACAGTAAAACCTCCACCTCTTCTCCATCTGTCCAAAATTAACCTACCACTGGTGACTTGGCACTTGTACACAATAGCACCTGAGTCACTTTGCTCCGATTAATTATTTGGAGTGTTCATTGGCTCCTTGTTGGATTTCCATCCTGATTGGCTATTAATATCTTTATAGTTTGACGATACTGCAACACTCTTTTCATTTGCTTGTAAACCACAACAATACCTTTCAGCCATTTTCAAACACACACATCTCTCTCTCCTTTTTGAAGCCTATCCCATAAGACCACTGGTGACTTGGCACATGTATACAACAGCACCTGAGTCACTTTGCTACAATTAACTCGGAGTGTTCATTGGTTCCTTGTTAGATTTCCACTCTGATTGGCTATTTATATCTTTATACTTTAACGATACTGCAACACTCTTTCATTTGCTTGAAAGCCACAACAACACCCTTCAGCCATTTTCAAACACACACATCCCTCTCTCCTTTTTTAAGCCTATCCTATCTCACAGGCAACCACAGGCAGCCCAACAAATGAGTACCATGAAAATGCAACAACAAGTATAAGATGAGAACCCAAAGATGTAAAACTCCTACCCCACTCCTGTTGTCATGGGAGCTCCATACATAAAGTACTGACTACCATAAGCTGGGAAACCATATCCAGGTACCGTGCTTGCCGAGTACTCATATGGAGCTAAGCTGGGGTATGTTGTTGCCGTCATGATTGCTTTTGCCGCTGCTTTGGCTTGGCGATGGTCCTTATCCACAGGCTTGGCAAGGGTTACTTCAATTTCATTTCCATCCAATTCTTCACCTAACACAAACAAACAACATTGTTAGACCCCTACTCACTTCACACTACTCTAAACTTGCAGAGAGTGCAATCATGGCCTAATACATGCTGAACCCAAAGACATGTTGAAATTTGTATAGGTAATAAAATGATTTCAAGTACAATTTGGAGTTAACAAGCAAGTGGAAATTGTGTGAGCCCATAGGGCAAGTGCAATTTTTAGCCTTTGCAAAATTTACAAGAACTTATTACACCAAACTGCAAGAGAAATCATGTTGTTACTTGTTAATGATTTACATGAAAAAACAACAAAGAAAGGCAAGACAGACATATGCGCTCTTGTGCAACTGTAATTTGCACTTGTATTACAACTTTGCACTTGTGTTATATAAGAATGCACTCATCTTCACCCAATCAGAAGCATGTAAGTTTTTCATGTACATTATTATCATTGATATTCAATAACAATCCCCTACATTCAAACATTGTGGAAATAAATAATGTAGAATGCCACAGGGTTCAAGTACTCAACACTGATATGATACTGTGTGACTCAAATTATCCTTAAAATGGGTTTAAATAAGCAAAATTGTGCAACCTTTAGCTCCTGTGAGTGACCAAGACAGAATTTCTCCATACAATAATTGTAACACATTAATTGTAAGGCAGACGATATGGAGAATATCTAGGAGATCTTAGGAGTACAATTGTTTGAACAGGTGTATAGCAAATATATATTACTCCATATTTACCAAACAAAGGTCACAAAATTGGTGACCTACACTGTAAAGTAAGTTGCATATTTTTTCTTATTACTTCCACAACCAAAATGTAGTGCTGCTATGCTGACAAAAAGCCACAGTATTCCCACCATCGTGACAAAATTTTAAAAATGCCCTAGCAAGTGGATTTCAGCCCTCCTCTGTATGTTACAGGGTCAGACTGGAACATTTAATCAAATGAGAAACTCCATATCAAAAGTCAATTTGTATTCATAGTCTCACAATGCACTCAAATTAACCAGCATAAATTTATCTTTCGCATAGTCCACCCTGTAAACTCAACCACTACCACTTATGCTTTCTTGATACATAATTGTTCTTGAACAGAAAAATTATGACAATTAGTTCATTCAAAACACAGCAAAAAAAGCATATGCAGGAAAAAATTCCTGCAAAATTTCCAAATTCAAAGCAAAACCTATTCGCACTTGATGCAAGATCCCTTCACTCCTTTAACTTTTCATTGAGCACCCAACTGAACAATTTTTAAAGAGTAACAATTGTCTTCAAAATCCTTCACACCCCAACACAAATGTGCATGTTTTCCGCACTTTTCTCCATACACTTCCTATTCCTACAGTATTGACAAGGAGAGTTGTTTCACAATCAGAGTTTCTTCAATTGGTGATCATTTCCCTACTTGCATGACTGTAAAATGTGATTCAGGGGGTGATACTGTGAGGAGAAATTTGATGCCAATCACTCTTTGGGGTCAAAGGATATTGAAGGGAGGTAAAGGGGAAACACAGAGAAAATTGATTTCTTTCCTGAAATAGAATCCAGAAAATAGAAGTTGGAATAACTTGAAATTTAACAAAGAGCAATGAGCATCTGGCAAACAAAAATTATACCAAAGTTTTCAAAAGCAATCCTTCAAAGCTTGCTTACTCAAATAAATTCAACAAAGGATCAATTTTCCCCACTTTAATCACTGTAAAAGTAATTTTCATCCTAGCCATAATATGATATTGTCAAGATAGAGGGATTAAATAAAATTTAACGATAAAGAACTTTCTCATACTTCTGAAATTTATCACAACATCTCAGTAGTGAGCTTATTTCTTAAACACGAGCATCTTCACGAGTTTTTGAAGAGATTAATTTGCTTAATATCTGAAACGTTTACGGTAAGAAACACCAATAATTCCCTAAGTATTTAACGCTACCATTCAGAAAAGTAAGAATTAAGTCCACATATAAAATGCATTTAAACTTGAAAGATTCTGTGTTGCAAAACGTAAATTGATTTTGTTAACTCGAAAATTTTTGAGAAAGAGTTGAAGAAATCTGAGGAAAGACAAACAGCAGATGCAAAAAATTCTTTAAGGTGAAGGGTAAGTGAAAAAATCCTTGAAAACACGAGAAAAAACGAGTGCGCAACAAAGAAAGGAAGTCTATAGCTAGATGTGGATTTTCGCATTGAATATTAAATCCACTTAGGGCGACAAGCACGCTTCCGGTAGTCTTGCATATAAGTAGGTCCTTGCTCTCTAGGGACAAAACTGCGTTTTCAAAACTACGAAACATTGGGTACATACGTAATCAAAGTAGAGAAGCAACAAGGATAGTATCGAATACTTTTACATACTAGTACGCGAAAGTGAAAACATTCTAGAAAGAGAATGATTACATTATGTTCTGCGTTAACTCTCATGACTTCCCACGCTGCCATGCGAGAGGCACAAAGTTGCATCCTTTCGTGTTGGGAGAGAATTGTTTCAACAGATGTTTCAGGGAGTACCAATAAAAATTATCACAAATTGATGTTTCCTTTTTTAAAAGAAAGGTTAGTGATACCGTGCCGACTGAACGGAAAGATCGAAATTTTGGACCTCCAGTTAGAGAAATAACATAAGTATCAAATGACTCAAAAATATAAACAGAGGCACGTTCGAATGTGGAGTATTTAGTTTCACATCACTAGGGTAACTGCGATATAAGGGAAACGCACGTAGCTAAAAAAAACCTTGCAATTGCTAATAGACAAGTAAGAACTTCATAATCCCCCGCTTTAAGACAGGTTGCAGTGTTTTCTTTGCTGGTATTGAGAAGGAAAAGATCAAGAGCTCGATCGATATAAAACATCGCACGCCGCATTAGCTTCACACGAGAAATTTTTATCCCCCGGGAGACTTTTTTTCACAACAACCGCGAAACAAAAGTTGGGAATTGAAGTGTGAAATTTTACATTAGGCTAAACAATGGAAATAGAAAACAAATGATTCTGGTACACAGAAAGGATGCGGGTTTTCGTTGACCGACCACGGGGAATGTATTCACAAGCTTCATCAAACCCTCCCCTTACCTGTTGCAAAACTTATCGATCCACAAAACATAAACATGAAACTTTTATTACCGTTCATTGCCTCCAGAGCTGCTCTGGCTTGTTCCTTCGTTCGAAAGTGAATAAAACTGTAATCTTTGATCTTCTTAACTCGTTCAACATCGCCAAATTTGCTGAAAACTTGTTCTATCGTGTCTTCCGTCGTGCTTAATAGGAGATTTCGGGCGTAGAGAACTTTCACCTTAAAAACAAAGCCAAAATGGTACGAATTAAATCGATAGGTCGCGGTTCTATTGAAGTAAAGCGGCCGCTTATAGCTTTGTATTGAATCGCGTTCCCGACATAATCGTTCCGAAACGACAAAAGACAACACAGAGTAACTAATTACTTCAATAGAAAGCTAATGCTTAACAACGACAGACACAAGCTTCGTTGAACAAAGGAACAAGGCTAACACGACATCAACAAATAAACTTCTCTACAGCGCACAAACGCATCACAAAACAAGCACCGACTGTTTTGTTTAGACTCATACTGAAATTACCCAAAACAAATTTCAGGTTCCCCAGCAAACACAAGTAGTTTAAAAAGGAACGTAGAAAACCGGCGACGTCGCAAGAGCCTTTCGAGCGGCGAAGATAGGGGGAGGGGCAACTTTTGGGTAACGATGTAACACAGTAGTAAATATAAATTACAAACCTGATCCATAATTTCTTCGTCAACTTCTTGCTCTGGCTCAGCCCAATCAACGGCGATTTGATGTCCCCAGAGCTGTATTTTACCCGTCATGAGTTTTCTCCTGGCCATAGCAGCGTCGCGATGCGAGCTGTACTCGACGAAAGCAAACCCTCGGTTCTTCGTCTTGTCCTGCGCCGAAGGGTAAACAATTACGTCCACAACGCTTTCTGTAACTTTCATCATTTCGTTCATGATCTCGTCCTTCTTAACCTTCTTGGGAATACCTCCGACAAAAAGCCGGCAATTGTCTACCGAGCTACAAACTCCAATACATTTCCCTTTGCGAATTTCGTAATTGTTCAAAGCCTTGACACTTTTCTTGGCGTCTTCCTTGTTAGTGTAAACAACGAAAGCGTATCCGCGATTTTGTCCGTTAAAATCCATCATGAGTCGGACCTCGTAGATTTTGCCAAAAGTTTCAAATACTGGAACCAATTCATCTTCGTACAAATCACGAGGAACTTTGCCTACAAAAACTTCACATCCACGTGGAGGGGGTGGTGCATCCCAACTCGGTGGAGGTCCATATCTTCGTTGCCCGTTGAACTGCCGAATCGGATATTTCGTTCTATTCATGAGCTCTCGAAGAGCTGCTTCTTTAGGCGTTCCAGCAACTCCATCTGTACCTCTATCGGAGCCCTCTTCAATCTTGGACGCCATTTCTTCCCCCATTTGTCGAGAGCTCCGTGTAGCCACTTGGTTGATAGTCATCACGTGTAGTTATAAACTGGTAGATATACGCAAGCGCTCTGTCTAAATACAACCAGTGTCACGTGAGAGCTGACAGGCTTAGTGCGACCCCAATCAAGAGCGAACCAATGACGGAAGAGATCTCTTTTACAAATTAAATGTAATGTAATTTTGTTATTACACAGACCAGTTCTGTTTGTTTGTTCGATAGATTGCGCGCTGGGCCAGCGTCAGTGGAAAGGAGAATGAAAATTGGCTCCGTTTTCGAAAGTGTTAATTTTTGATAAGCAGAGATGTGGTGCGATGCTGTACGCTTCGATCGCGAATTGCTGACGGATTTTAATCTCTTACAAGTACATTGCTGGATCTCAAGCATTTGAACAACAAACAAACGTTGTTTTCTTTCAGCTTACAAAGAATTTTGTCAGCTTCTTTTGTTTATTCACCCTAAAACTTCGGGGTTCAGCCAGTATTATTTAGCGATGACCCTACAATTCACGCCCCAACTTGTTCCAAATCACACAGAATTCACAAATCCCTCGTGATTTATACATGCTCAATTTACGTAACCGATGGGTTTTTCCCTTGCGTCACGGTACTTCCGAGAAACTCCAGCTCAAAGTCTGCCCTCAACATCTTTTTTCCCTTAGAAGGTCAACCACAAAATGACGTATTCTTCAAAATGATCCATTTCAGTTGGTGACGAGCTTAGGCACATGATTCGCCCTTTGGCCACAAAAATAGAGTGTTGAATGATGAGCAGCCTCCTTGAAGAGAGAGACAATTAGAGAAATTAATCTGGCGCTTAAGTCATCTACAAAAGTGAACATCCAGTTTAAGAGTTATTTTGTCACAGAGCGACGAAAAGGATGCACTTGGCAACCGTATTCTATCACAAACAGTCAAGAACATTCGTAATTAGTACTACAAATTAATGTGTTTTAAACGAGCAAACATATAATTTTACAGCCGATTAAGTGTTTTATGTAAGACGATTAACGTGGAATAATGAATTGAGGCCATTTATTCTGTTCAGATAAGAAAAATAATAAACTATGACGACTTTTCTCCTGAAAGGTCCTGAAACCTTCTAGTCTGTTGTGAGGAACACAAATCGACCGCCTACGCTGCGGCGAGCGTATTTCTCTGGGAAAAATGCATCAGAGTGTTAGCTATTAAGAAACACTAGTATCAAATTTCCAGCAGTCAAGAAGGTGCTCAAAGCTTTATTCTAACTTGTAAAATAAGTTCAATTTATTGCCATTTTTGACGAATGTTTGGTGACAAACATGAGAGCTCGACTATTGTGCTTGAACAGTTCTAACGTCTCACTTCATTAGTTACTGACATTAAGTGGCCGAAATTAATTCATTAAACAGGGAGCCTGTCATGCAAAGCTTGTGGCAAAAATACCGCCGTCGAATTAAGAGCAGTTTGGCAGGCGAGTTACAAAACTGCTTTCAAAGAAATTAAGTGACACTTCTACCGAATCTGATTTAATGATAAATTTATCTTTTCTTTAAACCAAAAGTTGCTTAGCTTTGACATCGTTCGGCAATTATTGATGTAAGATTCAATTAAATAAAAAAATTTATTGTAAAATCTGTCGTTTTATGTAAGGACTTTGTAACAAAAATTTAAAAGTAATGCCGGGAAGCAATAATTTGAAAATTTGAAACAACAGCAGGAAATATTCTACAAGAAATAGAACGGTTTTCTCCATGCAATGAATGCATGTCCGTAATCCTTGATCGCTTCCTTGAGTTTTGATTCGAATTTGGAAATTTTTCGACAAATAAACGAATCACACGCGAGGCCCGGGTAATGCCTTTGCATCCGTCACTAATGTACCATATGTTTTCCGAAGTGCCAAAGTTACTTGCTTCGCTTAAATGTTTAATCAGCAAAAATGTCAGAAGTTGAATCGCTCTGTAAATTTGCGAGTAAATAAACTCGAAAAAGTGTTAGTGTTTAGTGTTATTTTTGATTTTTCTGTTCCAAATTTCAAATTTGCTTTTTCTGAACGATGAATGACTTTGGCAAATGTTTTTAAAAATTTGTTAATTTCTAGGAAACTGTTTCAAGTGACCCATGACAAGTTTTAACAGGTTCCCCTTGTATCGCGCTCACATGGACAATTAGATAAGACAATTTTACACAGAGAAAATTAGTCCCGTCCTGGCGTGCTGTTCCGCAAATAGATTTTTCAAGCAGACATTTCTAAGTAAGTTCCAGCGTTACTTCACATCCTTCATGGATTAATAATTTTATCACTGGAGCGGTTTTTGTTCTTATGAAGTTCGTTTCTTTCTCTTTTATGAAAATACCGAAATTATGTACTAATTCTTTTATCAAAAACCAGATCGAAGGAATAAAACGATATCAAAAAAAACAAAAAACTAAATTGTCTGAATTGTTGCGAGTCACCTACACCTAATTACAGTCAGCTGATTGAGGGCGATTTAATTTTAATTGTGTTAAAGTACGGTGTGGATTTCAGGGTCAGATGCTAGAGCAAATGACGAAATCATTTCAAAAGGTTTTCTCATATGAACAAATAAGATTTCTAGGCGGTAATTCTCGGAAACATACATTTTATCTTCTGATCATGATTAAACAACAAAACTTCCCGTTTTTTTTTTTTTCAGCGCTGAAGAGTTTGTGCTTTCTCAGTAATACCGAGCTTTGAAATGGCTTCTGTCCAAAAAAGCCGGGTTTGCTTGCATAGCCGCAGCTATATTTAGCCTAGTTTGATCAACAAAGCCTTTCAGCGCACAGCATAGGCCCTTTCAAATATGATGAGATTATTTCTTTTGTTAGGGATTACATGCCCTGATAAGGATCACCAGGTTTTCTCTCAGATGCTGTAATCGCTTATTTATGTGTTTCGCGTGACTTTATTTCCAGCACAGCGCTTTTCAAGGACATAGATCGAAATGTAACTATTTTAAGTATTCCAGAGAGAGAATACTTGTTTCATTACATTCAATTTCAGGCGTCTTTAAGCCCTTGCTATTAAACATAGTCAGAGGTCATCCATATGTGGCCGTTGTTTATGGAAGATCACTCGTTTACGGTTACCTCTCAGAGATTAAAACTTGATCAGAACAAGTTCAAGCAACATCTATGTCCGACTTCATGACGTGAGCGAATCCTATGTGCAGCCAAGTTTTATAGTGTTGCTGACCTCTTTCAGTTTATCATGAAGAATGCATAGTTGAGTGGCTGGATAAATATTCAATTTCAGTCATGTAAGATTTGACGGAACTCGCATAATCCTCAGCCGCGTCAGTTGAGCCCGAAACTACAGAAAGAATTCTTAAAAAGCCAAGAAAGAAACATCCTACGGTGCAGAAACTTAACAAATTATGTACATAGTATTTTTTTACAAACTTTAGGCGTTTCGTGTGTCTAAAACTTGAAGTGTTGCTACTTTTGATGGCATTTTGATGTCTTCAGCTCTGACTCTACACAAATAAATCACCTCCAACAACAATTTTATAATCTCCTTTAAATCAGACATAATCAACCAAATCAAACAGCTGGCACATAAGATTTGAATTGAAAGCCGATATAGCGCTTAAAAAGCTTCTTTTAGGTCTTCTAGAGGAGTGAGATACTCTGGAAAGCTACCGGCATCATTTCAGTTCAGAAAATATTGACCCTTTAACTCCTAGAGTGATCAAGACAGAATTTCCCTGGACCAGCAGCTGACCAAGCCAATGCAATGTCAAGCAGACAAGATGAGAATAAAGACAGATATCAATACGGGGTTTATCAGTTGATCTAATACCAAATTCTCCGAACCAACAAAGGGGTAATGACGTGTTTGTTTGAAAATGGTGTGGTGTGAATTTGAAATACAAAATTGAGTTGACTAAAAAAAATAAGAGGTAAACGGAATCTGTGAAGAAGAAGAAGAAAGGACTAAGAGAGAGATTACTAGAAAAATAAATAAATAAATAAATAAAAACAGAGAATGAAGGAATATCGGAGAACTTGTCAAGATGACCACCTGTTTGTTCTGTTCTAGTTGAAAGAGGGACACATGAACCTCTTGCTTTTTCTTTGCTTTGGTTATGTGTTAATTTTCCTTTTTATCCGTCTGGATATCATACCTGTTTTGACTAATGCTGGTGACAGTGCTACACGTTTGATTATCCATTGTACAATTTGACAGGAAATTATAGGGTGCTAAAGAGGTGCACCTCGTGCTACGTAAAACTGAAGTGTCTTCTGGAATGAACTCGACATATCGAGCGGCTTCCGATTAACATAAGTGCGGAGTTTTGTTCGGTGAGGGACGAAAACCAGATATCTCCGAGAAAAACCCAACAATAATCCAAGAGTTAAGCAAAATATTACTTCCCCTCTTTTACAAATTGTTATGTTCAAATCTCCCTCTCTATCAGGACAATTTTTAGTTAAGCATTGACTTTCATTATCGTTTCAAACCTCCGTTCTTTCGTCGGATACATAGGTAAATTTTTCGCTAATTTCTGTCATCTCTTAGTTTTACCAAATGCAATTTACTTTGGGATGAAATATGACTGAAATGTCTTTATGTGGAACATTTACGGATCAAAGAATCGAACATAATGAATTATTTATTTTAGAACCATGGTATTTGAATCGTAAAAAATCTCAAAGTAAAATGAAAAATGAATGAGAATTTCGGGAGACAGAATCTACGTGCTCATCTCTATTTTGTGAAAAAAAAAAGTGCAAAAGATCACTTCAAAAGTCAAGTGAGGCAATGAGCTGTAATATAAGCAACTGCAATTATAACCCAAATTATAATAAGATTATTGTTAAAAGAATATGCTCAAATCAGATAACAGCTATTTCAAATCGAAACGAAGGCCAAGGCCGTAAAGTCACGTTTCAGGATTGTTTGTCACTGACTTTTCTACGGAGGTCACACATTTTGGGAGTTGTTTTTGGGTACAAAAAAAGACTGCTCAACACGTGGCGTTTTATCATTCCGGTATAGTCTTTTCTTTAAGTCAAATATTTAACGTTATTTGAGGATGGTACCCATTCGTGAC